GGTTATTTTGGCAAAACCTCTAAAATGTGGTTATTTTGTGGCAAAGGGTTGTGTAAACCGGTTATTTTTATAAATTTCCCTATATATATATATAATGGCATTTATAAAGGAAGGCATGCAAGAAAGCAAAGGGTTGGTTTCTTATTTGAGGCATTCTCTTCGAATTTCTTTTGTATTAAATTTGATAATTAATTGCTTAGAAATTGATACCTTTTTTTATAAAGAAATTGGTATATATCAGAGATGGATGATGTCATATATGAAGTGAATTTTGAACACAACCCTAGTTTGTCTTATTTGAGTCATTTTCTTCGACTATTGCTTCTTTCTCCATCAAGGACGTCATCGTCTTTTCATCACCCCATATGAAATGCACACCCCACCTTCTCTCTTTAGATCTATATATATATATATATATATATATATATATGTGTGTGTGTGTGTGTGTGTATAGTTTATGTACGAATAGGTTAGTTTAGAAGATTGCCTATCAAAAGTATCGATCTTTACACAAACTAACTCACTAGCGACGTTCCCAATTGCATTGGAAGTTTGAAAGTATCCAATAGGTTCTTATTGTGTTCCATCTGTTAAGCGATTGTTAAGATGAATTTCGACAATGGAAATTTTATGAAAATCAAGAGAATGTTGCAAAAAATTTGCACCCGGTTTTACAAAAACAAACTATTGATTCAGATTTTAGACTTTAACGCCACCTGTTATTAATCAGAAGTAAAAATAGACTTCAGACTTCAACACCTTTTAAAAAAACAAACGACACCTAAGTGTCTTAAAATACAGTTTTAAACAATACAAGTTTATAGGACCATACGTTAAAGTGTCATATTTAAAGGTGTTGTAATAGATTTATAAAATGTTTTTGAACGTCTTAACAAGTTTTTTTAAACATTTTAAAAAATAGAACGTTGTATTAAGCAAATTTATTGGACATTTTTGTGACTTGTTCTATAAAAACATCTTTTTATAGACCATTTGTTTTTACAAGACACTTTTTCAAATAATATTCCATAAAATAGTTTATATAAATGACGCTTTATTTTAAAAATATTCTAAAAAACTTGTTAAGACGCTCAAAACATCCTATAAACCTATTGCAACATCTTTAGATAATGTTTGGTCCTAAAAACTTATGTCATATAAAACAGTCTATTGTTGTAGTGATGGTAGTATTATGATAGTGCGGTTTTCCTATAAACGCATTTTTCATGGCGGAAAGTTTGACGTGAGAAAAAGTTATGTTTCAGAGTCTCCAACGATAATTAAATCCATATACAAGTAAAATAACAGTACAATCTGTTACTCGGTTTAACCAAAATAGTAAAAAAAACGAACTACCAAAACAAACTGCATAACCTGGAAACCAAAAAACCCAAAACCGTTTTGGTCCAAATGAGTTGTTTGACTTTGGAATTTTTTACATCCTTAGTTGTGCCATCGATCACCTAAATTTCTGGATTTGTTACTGATATTAAACTTAGAATATAGTGAGAGACAAACGACGTATATATTATGTTTCTGTTCAAAACGACAAATATGAAATGTATTTAACATATTTTAAAAAGTCTAATGAGTTATTTAACAGATTTTGGAATATCCAATAATTTATTTGTTTTAAAAAATTTATTCAAAGACTTAATCATTTTGAATGGTAAAATGAAACTTTAGGATGGTATTATTGAAGTAGGAGTTTGAGGATGGCAATCGCATGCTTGATATGATGTGTCCCCGGGACCAATTAAAGCCCCTTCCAATTTTATGCCTTTTTCATGCTTTTACATCTTTGACTTCATTTTCACTCAAAGCAAAAAATAAAGGTTTATATTCTGCTTTTTCTTTTTAAAACTTTATTATTTGTTCATATCATCCTCTTTAAATATATGAATGTGAATTATTATACAACTCTTTACATTTGTATAATCAATAAAACTCAATCTTAATCGTTTCTTTAATTTGATAAATATATGATTTTATAAAAGTTTAGATTGTTTTCTAATATAAAGTTTTAATCATAATTAATGAACTTTAGTCATCTTTTATAAATATTCAAGTCAAAATAAACTAACTGTCATCATTTCCACAAATATCTCAATTGATTAGGTTGCATTTGAAACGTCTTATCTCTCTCTCTCTCTCTTTCACATTAATATTGAAATTTTAAATAATTTACATCAATAAACAATATTTCATACATAAAAATGGTTTTTAAGAAATGTTTTCAAATAATTTATCATATAGTATAGAATATAGATTATCATGTTTTTGATATTTTTAATAGAAATAACAACCACATAGCGAAAAGAACCCTCAAACAATACACATAAGTATAGCTTCTCACAAACATCTTATCGAACACCTTACGTGCATAGGTATTTTCATTCAAGTTCAAAAACCATGATTATAACAAGAAACCATACTTGATATTAATCTTAAAATGTTGCTCACAAAATACAAGACCACCTTCAATTCATAAAACAAACTCCAGAAAATAGCTTTTATTCCGTACGAAATTAACAAACCAGTTGGTTTTTGGTCATGCATGAATTTCTTCCTTGCCTAAATGAGCAACGACCTTCACATAATACTTCCAATCAGGATGCGAAGGTGTAATCGCAGGCTCACCAAACGGATGACTTTGAACATAGCTCTGCACATCAGTAGCATCCGCAACTCCATCCAAGAATGCTCGGAACTCGCCACCAGGTCCTAATTAGCAAACAAATATTCGATTACAACATCAAACGAATATAAAAAAAACTAGATATGTAAATAAATGTATAAATATATACCTAAAAAATCATCTTGCTTGTTGTCAGGATCATAATCTTGATGAGATATGGCAGTGTTGGACTGTAACAATACGGAACTCCATTAATTAACTTCAAAAGAAATCTTGATTAAATCGAAGAAGAACCAATCAAAGGGGTAGTAATACAGGATTCAAAAGGGCATTCGCAGGATTTGTGATCAAAAGGGTGTTTGAAGACGAGTAATCTCCATCTTTCCATGGAAGATTAGAGTACTTCTTCTCCCATAGAAATTTAAGCTCCTTTAAAAACAAGGGCTTCTTTTTGTTCTCCAGACATGTGAAACCAGTATCTGTGCATTCTTCTTGATCCTGTCAAATTAATTAAATAACATTAGCGACACAAATAAATCCATATTAAAATGAGTTTGGACTCACCCAGATGAATAGTAACTTCCTTTTCAAATCCCCCATGACATTGGTCAAAACTGCATGTATGTTATGCCTAAACAACACACATGAAGTAAGTTAAAGACACATAAACATGATATATATATATATATATATATATATATATATATATATATAAAGAATGTACTAACTCCATAGCAGAAGACCACAGCCCCACTTCAAATCTTTCAAAGCAAAACTTCAAGAACGATTCACAAAAAGGCCTCCTGTAAACTGTATATACATATAGATAGTTATATATACACACAACCACAGGTTACTGAACAGATTATGAATGATTTTGGATTCATTTCAGCGAAAAAGAAGAGATGAAAAAGGTAAAAACTTTGAACTCACTCAGAAAGTTCCCAGAAGAGAAATCAGAACGGCTGTTTCTGGGAATGGTGTTTGGGCGACGACGATGGGCTCGGTGAACGATGAATCCACCGAGAGGAATCACGAGGAGTTTCTTTTTGGGACCAAGATTAAGTTTATCCAAACAAATGCCTAAATCTGTTTCTGTTTCTGTTTCTTTTTCATCATCATCGTCATCTTCGTCTTTGCTGTGATGATCAGATACAAGAACAAGGTTCTTCAACTTGGAATCTTTAGATGCCATTGCGAGAATGGGTTTTGATTCAGGATTGTAATGATATTTTGATGTGATATTGTTTATATAAATGAGTTTTTTTGGAATTTGGAGGAAGAATGGAGACGGTTGGTTTCATTCTTTAGTTGCACATCTCTTGAGCTTCCTTTTTTTTAATGTAACTAAATTTGATAATTGATTGCATAAATGTAACAGCATTTCCGATACAAGATTCTTACATTTAAATTGGGCTTGCTACTTATATATATACTAGTTGTGTATCTGTGCAATGCGGTGAGAGTCATTAATTTTAACGATTTTGAAGTTCCACTGGTTTTATAAGATAAGATTTAACGATGATATAAGTTACACTTGGTCTTTACATATTAATACAATTTGAATAAATAAGAGTCATGGTTCCAATTACAGACTATCGATTAAAAGAATTGTATGACAGTTTAAAATCCAATATATTTAAACGACTCCACAAATGTATTTGATTTACACCAAGAGCAAAGAACCAAGAAACTTGAATTTTAAGATAAACACTCAAAACCAATAAAGAAAACTACAAATTTGATAGATCATAAGCCATGAAAAGACAAAAAAATGGGTTTTAGAGTGAAATTTCAATTGGTTACCCTCTTTCTTGTCCAGAAACTCTGATTAAAGTTGAATTAATACATGTATATATATATATATATATATATTTCAAAAAAACCCAAGAATATATTAATTCAGAACATATTATACAGTGCAATTTGGACAGTCTAACCCCAAAATATATAGTATATATATAAATAAATAACTATAAAAGTATAAATCGTAAATATTAAAAATATTTATTCACARTATATATAATATATAATAATATAATTAAGTAAAAAACTATTCAATATTGGACTCATTTCGAATGTATTAACGAGACGATTATAATGGTGTAACTTGTTAAAATAAAATTGTATTTTTTATACATGTTTTAATTGATATACGATTATGTATATTAATTTGATAAAGGTTTAAAATAAAACATTTAAAAGTAAAGGACGTAAAGTAAATTAATTAACTAATTATAGGGGTATAAAGTGTAAATTTGAAATTATAATTTAAAAAAATCGTTGGGAGAGGGTGGGTGTATCATGTATGTGAGAGGATGAGTGTATGTGAGGAGAAGAGGGGGTGAAAAAGTGATATAAATGGTATCTTGGTCATTTAGTATTTTAAGACTTTAATACTTTTGTTAAATTTGCTTTATAAGATAGTATATATATAGAGAGAGGAGGGGATGTTTACCTTGCAAACCACATTATTTGTACAAACCGTACAAACCTCATTCAACCAATCATAATTTTTCATTTTGTTTTTTTTTTGTAATTATGAGAATTCGATTAATCATTTTTATTGTGGATGGTGTTAATCATGGATATTATCATCTTTATTATTTTAATTTTAGAGAAATATATGAAACAGTTTCATAAAAATTTCATTAAGTATTATATGAAACAATTTCATAATCATATATTAAACAACTTCATCAAAAAAAAAGTATTATATGAAATAATTTCACAAGATTAAACAATTTCATGAATTTTTTTTTTTCATAAGATTAAACAATGAAATCGACGGATGAGGATGATTTACACGATTTGTACAAATTAAGTAGTTTGCATTTGATCACTCCTCTCTTTATATATATATATATATATATATATATATATATATATATATATATATATAGTCACCATACAGAGGATCAAACTCGCCCCAAAACCATTGGATGCACAACACAGATAGACGTAAACAGTCTCATATTCCGTCATCAAGACGAAATGACAGAACAATTTAAAACATGGATAGAGGAAGAACAAAAGACACCAGAACTCCCATATAGATTCAAATGGTCAGACTACAAACTTTTAGCAGAAGGACACTACATACAAATCTGGTCACATTTTAATTGGGACATGCTTCTACCCTTTGTTGGAGAGAGCACTCAGCTCAGTATCACAGACATCAACAACAGAGAAGATGACTCAGAAGATGAGCCCTATAATCAATAATCACCACCAACAATTCCAGAAACACACAGAGACTTCTAGATAAGACAAAACAACACACAACACATGATCTAAAATAATGATGAAAGCAGTACCTTCAATAATTCCGACAGCTACGCATACCTCAATAATTTATGGCGGCCGACAACTATATGTGAAAGACGGTGGTTTATGGTGATGGTTGAATCTCAATTGCATCGTCATCCGCCATTGAACGGTGGTTTACGGCGACGGAAGATTTGTGATGGATGGTTATGAACCTTAGAAATTATAAAGACTGTGTGTACTTGTTTCCCATGTTTGGGTTATGGTTGGTTTGGATATTTGGTGTATTGTGGGTTGGGAAGGGGGGTTGGAAGGTGTAAGTCTTTCAAATAAGCTTTTATTTCTCTGCATGCATGTACAGGTTCTGCAAGTCTGTATGATCTTAGGGGCTGTTTGTTTGGCTCTTAATGGTTACATTAAGAGCCAACCTCTTAATCGGTAAGAGGTTAGATCTGTTTGGCAAAAAAAAACAACCCTCTTAATGGTTACAATAACCTCTTAACCTCATTGCTGTTGTTTTGGGTTCAAGTTCTTTGGAAACTGTGCTGCCCAATTTACAAATAACTTCAAAAAAAGACGCTACAAAATCAAAAAACATCTTCATTTACTTGTACGTATATGTGCATATTGTCTAGATGAATGGTTATTCCTCAATTTTTCATTTATTTGTGGTTTTCTCCTGAATATTAACATGTTAACATATGGGGTTGTTTGTTTACCTCCTAATAGTTTCATTAAGAGACAGTCTCTGAACCGTTAAGGGATGAATCTTGTTTGGCAAAAAAAAGTATTGCCCTCTTAATGATTTTGTATCTTGGACCTTCTTTAACCATTCAGCACATTAATTCTACTCTTAACAATTAACAAACAATTACATTTTATTTTGCATTATATTATAAGAGTTTCTTAATTATTCTGACTGCTTAATCATTTTGTATTAAACCATTCAATAACAGTCGAACAAACCCATTACTAGAACCAGGATTGGTTTAAGGATTTATTATAACCCCTGGTCTTTATCAAATTTTTTTAATGACAGGTCCATGGAACCATCGTCGGTCCAGTAAAGTTAACCAGTTATGACCAATTATTTTTTTTTGAAAAAATTCGCCTAACTTTTACTGTAACAATACTGTAGCATCAACTTTGTACTGTAGCAGTTTGAATTTTTTATAGCGGTAGGCCCCGCAAATAGTTTTTTCTCGTGTATATATAGCCGATCGAATTCATTTGTAAATCATCCGACCTTCAAGCAATAATAATAAGCCATATATATATATATATATATATATGTATATATATAATATATAATATAAGGAAACTCGCACAATACAACAAAATATATTTTGATTTTAGCAAGATATTTATTTTTAATTTAATAATAAATTTTAAAACTTTTATATTTAAAATAAAAAGCGTTTTCGTTTCACCCCTCTCTATCTCTGTGTCTATATATATATATATATATATATATATATATATATATAAATTGACTTTATACTGCCATGTCATCTACATTATTTGCTGAGATGGCCAATGAAGCGAATTTTTAAAATAAAATAGTTTTTTTTCATTAACTTGTAATCGTGTATTATGCAAACAAGAAGTAAAACAACTGAAATTGAGCAGTGAATTTAATAGTAAAATTGTTCCCCATCATCACATACATATAAATTGTTGATTGAAATGAAGCAAATAACATACAAGTCCTCAGAAACATCAACAACAAAATATTCGCAATACGCTAATTAACTTGTAATCGCTTGCTGCTACACCACAAATGGAACCCATCTGGTGGTCGATCACTTTCAACGCGCCCTCGAGATGGAGATGGAGATGGAGAAGGAGAAGACGACCTGTATAAAAATATAAGGGTAAACGGCAAAAAATAAGGACCCATCCTTGACCTGAACCTGCAAAACTAGTAGTAAAATTACGTAAGATCACATTTCCAATTTATTTAAATAAATGGAAGCCTGCACCTATTCCTCTAATGATTTACCATGTTCACAGCCCCCCATCTGCTCTTAAAGTATAAATACAACCTGGATAACTTGGCCTGCAAAAAGTCAAAAACCTAGCTGCTGCTACTGCTACTGCTACTGCTATCCATGCAAATAAAACATACCTAACATTTTCTTTCTTTTTAAAAGCCAAAACATGAACATATATATCTATATATAGGGCGTTGGATTCCGGTTATAATGAGAGTTATGGTGAGAAGGGATCTCCACCCTTGGATCAATCCTAATTGAAGAGTTCCACCAAATCAACACTAATGAGAAGCACGAGATCAATTCCCTTCTAAAACGCAATTCATGGATTGGTTCGAGATTAGAAGTGGTCAAGGGTCTGAATCCCTTCTTACACATCTCACCTTAACTCCTATTATGACACGATCCATCTCCTATATATATATATATATATATATATATATATGTATAGAGAGAGAGAGAGAGAGAGGGAGAGTGAGGTTCAAGGGCAAACCCCCAAAAAAAGAAAAATAGGGGAACACCCTAATAACTGTTCATCTCTATGGTAGTGCACATGTACATACAAGTAACTGAATACGTTCTCTAGTTTCTATGCACGTGCGCAAGTTATGCACAGTGCATAACATACTGATGATTAGTTATTAGGATGTTCCTATGTTTTCATTTTTTTGCAGTTTTCCCCTGAACCTAAACCCATGTGTGTGTGTGACTGTGTGTATGTATTTCCTGCAAGTGTAGTAGAAAAGGAATGTTGACGGGTTAATATGTGCTAAAATCATTGTGATTTTTCACCAATGCAAAAGGGAATCCAAGGTTGTTTATAAGGATCTGCAACGATATGCGGTTGTGAAATCTGGTATGCATTTGCCAAAAATGAAAACCAAAATACCATAGGAAAAGAGAAGGATGATGTATTATGTATGCATTCAGGGAATAAGCAGCTAGTGAGAGATCCTCTCGTGGTCTTCCCCTGTAATCTTTATTCAATTTCCTTAAAAAGGAAAGGGGGGTAACGAGGAGAAAAGTAGAAATTAAGATTTGGCCGGTCAACCTGTACCCTGTACTCCTGCACAGTGGAAAGCCGGCAGTAAGCCATATCTTCCAAGTGGGACTACTGTCTTTATAACAATTACTGCTTCTTCTTTTGCATTTTCATTTTTTCTATTTGTTCCATATGTATTTTAAACTCTAATGTATCTTTTCTTTTAAAATATATAATACTTATATATGGCAAAACTCACACACAATCCGGTTTGAACCCTTGGACCTCCATGGAGGTTGGGATCTATCAATAACCCGAATACCACCAGGGCCAACGACCCTTTGGTAATTCTCACATATCTTAAGAAACACGATAAGCCAAGAACAGAGAATGGGAACAAACCAGACAAATCCACTTTGATCAGTAATCATAACCTCCATCATCTTGCTGCGGCTGCTTCTCCTGATGCGGTTCATAGTAATGGTCTCCATTCTGTGGAGCACCATCATCATTGATGCCATCATTATTTTCGTTACTGGAAGCAGTTTTAGGACCTGTTTTTGATTGTTCTTTTTCTCTGTTCCATTGTTCGATCTTTGCCCTTCTTTCAGCACTCCCTTCCCTAACTGGACTTCGGTTTCTCTTCCCTCCAGGGCTTCTGCTACGCCCCGCTCCTCTTCGTCCAGGACTCCTACTTCTCGGCCTCCTGCCCCTACTGTCATGGCTACGATGATCAGAGTAACCACCTCCTCTTCTCCCAGAACCACGACCACCACCTTGTGGACGCTCGTCATAATTCCGATTCCTTTGAGGACTACGGCTTCTGCTTCGACTTCTCCTACGTCTCCCAAATAACTGCCTCCTCAACTCTCTGAAGAAAAATATGCATGGATCAACTAGTCAAACAAAAGGTTGGGATTGAATCTTGAAAGTGCTAGATGATAAATAAAAAAACCAACTCACTTGCTAATCTTTTTAAGATGCATGAAGTTGCAATAACCCCCTCTATTGCATACATTTTCTTCATACTGCCTACACGTAGCTTCACGAAAATCTGTCACTGGAGAGAAGTCCACAATAATGGGGCGGCCTGAAAGAATAAACATATCTTATGTTAGGGAGAAAATGTCCAACTATTACATTGTCCCTTAAAGTATTGAATGGAGAACTTGATGTCTTGGCAACTTGAAGAAATAAAGACCAAAAAAAAAGATTTAGACCTAGATGCAAGTGGGAGAAAGTTTCACATTAGACTAGGAAGATTCAAAATTAAGCTTGGTAATCACTTCGAATGGGGGCCTAGGATGATCTATGAAAAGAGTAGACATTTACACTATCACTACACAATATCAGTGGTGCTTATAAACCCAAGTAAGAACCAATGGATATTAGGAAATTATAGGGATGAAAAGCTATAAATCCAAGTAAACCTCAAATACATAGTCATTATAGTTGGACTCAATTGCCCTCTCGATAAAAGCTCATAAATTTTCAAAGAAGAAGGGAGAAAACATCCACAATTATAACAAGAGCTGACAATTGAGAATCATATGGATGTTGATATCGTTAAATTAGAAAATACTAGGCAGTTCACTCATCACTGTAGGCCTATCATTAGTGGTGGCAACTTATACAGGTAGCTAAGTTCAGTAATCTTGTGTCAGCCACATACAATGCAAAAAATGGGAAAGCGTTCTTAAGTTTACAGAAAGACCATAGATACATTTGCATATATGTAAGTTGCAATCCCTTTCATGGAACAACAAAATGGTTCTCTCAAGTTTGGCTTCATAAAAAATAGATCCAATGAATAACATAGATAGCAACATGATGTGATAGTTGTGTAAATATAAGCTACATTACAAAGGGGCCAAATATTACTGATAATGAAATAATAGCGTTAGACTGTGCACATGGTTTTGATAAGATTGTTTCGACCACCAGCCATACTACTAAAATACCCTTCTATGGTAGAGAAAAGTTGTGGAAATTAATATCATCAACAATTTGATGGACAAGAATACCACTTTAGCACAAAATTTAGAAAAAAAAGCAGTATTGCTATTACTACAAGACGTCTTCAAATTGAAGTTGTTGCAACACTCATGGGTTAAGAGTAGTAATTAATATCCCCTTGGTTAAATATAACAAGTACACTGTGACTTCTGAACTCAAATGAACTTGATGCTTAGCTACAAAATTTGAAATTTTTGACAACTAAATCCACAACATATACTAGTACTATATACAAGAAAATGATGGTCTTAAAATGCATTTAAATCCGTGTTTATATCAGCATTGAAAGGTTCGCTTGACATCAAAGTCCATGACCTCTTTGAAACAGATGCAAGGTAAGGATGGCCATGTAATAAAAAATAAGCAAGAATCATTGTACGTGACTACATTTATGATGTGCTCTAGAAGCACAGAAGCATATACATAGAAAATCACACAGTCAAGAAACAGGTATATACCTGCGTAAAATCTTCCACTTAGATTCTGAAGAGCAGCTGCAGCATGTTCTTCTTCCCTAAACTGTGCGTATACATTCCCCACCTACATATAAAGAAGAAACTTCACTGTACAGGCATTTTAAATAGCAAACAACCAACCAATTTGAAATGTAAAAACAAATATACCATATGGTCAGCCAAATTATCACATATGTTTAAGCTTTCAATCTCTCCATATTTTCCCAGCTCTTCAAACAGATCTTCATAAAAATCCTGCAATTACACACAAATTTAGAGGTAAACAAAGGAAGCACGAGCACGACAACTAAAATAATATTGAAACTGTTGATGACAAAATCAAGTTTGCACTTTGCACTTTATACAGGGATAAACATCACGATGGTGCAGCCATTGCAGGTTGCATGTATTCCTCATGTAGCAACACGTAAGATATAGTATACATGAATAATTCATGCTTAAAACTGGAAACTATCATGTTCTTTAGAACGCAATACGAAGAACCCAGAAACCGTCAGAGTTCAAAGTAACTCATAATCCATGGAAAACATCTAACAATCAATAGTGTTGCCCTCACCACCACATTAGTAACAGTTACCAATCTCTAGGAGACACCAATTACTGCCTTATTCTGAGGGATCAAATGCTTATCTTCGTCGAATTTCGTGATATAAAAGAGCAAGCATCAAAACAATTACGTATTCAAAAAAAATCTCGCCATCGGGTAAGATCTCATTATAAAAACGTAGACAAGTAAAACCAGAGCACAAGTTAACAAACAAGAAAGCAAATGGCAGCCAAGAACAACTTAATATACAAACATAACTGAATTTACAACGAAAAAATAAGAAGAATTTAATCAGGAATGAAAACCTCGAAGTGATCCTGGATTTTGCTAGGGTCAAGGGGCTGACCCTGAGGATCAACACCTGGAGTGATCATATCGGGACGCTGGTACATGTTGGACAGCAATAGGGTAGGGCTGATGCTTGGTTTGGTATGGAGCCTTGAGCATCGGTCTCCATGCCGACAAGCTCCGATCTTGAAGTAGAAAGGACAGTTGACTCGATCTTTTTCCGTACCGAATATGGACGCCAAGTGCTCCGCCATTCTTCTCTGCTTTCAAGCCAGCGGCTAGGGTTAGGGTTTCTTTGATATTTGGGGGAAAAGTGACCAAAAGAGGACAAGCTTCTGTTCTGCTCTTTATATATATCAATTTTATTGGGTTCAATTGAGAACAAATCGATAGCTTAATTTTGCCTCTTTTATGAACAAATTTCTTGTTTTTATAAAATAAATAAATATCTCAAAAACCCAACATTCTCGAAAAGAATTAAATATATACAGCAAAACAAATGAATAGTAACCAAACAGGTGAATCATATATAATTCTACACTGAAGTTACGTGTAAAACCAAATGTGATTCATGCGACTTTGGCTGCGACCGGGGGTCATAGGCTAGGTTGTTCGCTCACCCTTGTGTTATCGTGCTTCGTAATCGTATATGAAATCACATGTGATTTGATTGTTTTCTTATTATCTTATTTTGACTTTATTCTTGTTTGATCATCCATCTATACCATAAATACAACAAATAAATTCATATATCATTCTCATATATGATGATATTTGAACTTCTGGCCTTTCAAATGGCCAAATGCTCGGATATTAGCAGGTCAAAAGACCTTTAGTAATCTCGATTTATTTACAAGTCTCGTCACATATTTATTTATTAGTATTACACATTCCAACTAAAGATTTGCATATATATTTTAAGAGTATACCTTGTTCATTCTTGTATATAAATACTTGCATAAAACATTTGTTAAAATCTTGTTATGAAATGGTTACGAAATACTTATGCAACCTGTTACAAATTGCTTAAACGTTTATGAAACTTGTTATAAAATGGTTAGGAGTTATGGAAAACTTTGTACGTCGTGTTTGTGTATGTTTACAAAAGAATGTGAAAAGTTGGATACATCCATCTCATTCTCGTTTATTAAAATATTCAACAAAGTATATGTATTTTTCTAGCTCTATTGCTCTTTTTCCTGCAGGAACAAAAACTATGGATATTAAAACCATTGTCAAAGTTTTGAAGAAAGTTCAATAAATTATCATTCATATAGAAAATGACAATTGAAGGTGAAAGTCAATTGCAAGGGACAAAACATAAGGGACTAACGTCGAACATATGTTGAGGTAGGTAAATAGGAGTAAACTTGAAATAAAAATATTTCTGAAAATGTATAGAAAAAGACTACAACAATGAAATGTAATAATGTCTTTTTGATGTTATGATAGACATACGAACTTATATAATTATATTTCCTCTTGTATATTTATATTAATTTGAGGAGTTTGAATTATTTTCCTACTTATGAAAATCAATAAGATCTATTTCATATATTTATAATAAAAAGAAAAGAAAATGTATATAACTCGATATTATCTTTTTGAGGTTAATATTTATTTTCATATACAATCCAAAAATTTCACTTTTAATATTTTTAATTTCATTATTTTCATAAAACTTCTAATAAAAAAATATTTTTGGTAAAGTTTGTCACTGATAATCTAAAAAGGTTAGGTTTAGATTGAGGTAAAAAGTTATATATATAAATGAGAAATGGTAAATTTAAAAAAAAATATTGAGTTGGGTTTAATTGTCGATAAATATGATCTTAGGTTACTTGTCATAGTCATAAGTAAAATGAACACCACTATGTGATTATTAATGTCTTATGATATTGATTGTTAATTACATTTTATGTGACTATATATAATTTATGGTTTATTTCTATATGTTCAAAATTAATTTAGATTTGAATTTAAAATTGTTGAACTTATAAAAAGTCATGGATCAAAAACAGTAATTTTGATGCTTCATATACCACTGATGCAAATAAGTTGAACATCAGAAAAACAATCCAAGTTCCATTTTTAAACCACAAAACATGGTGTGACAAAAAGATCAACTACCACAAAACGAACTCCATTTTCAAATACAACTAACTAAAAAGTGAGAATTTCTCTCGTGTCTTGCCTCCGTCATCAAAAATCATGGATCTTTCACTGGTCATTGTCCATTATTTACGAGAGGAAAGAAGGGTCTATTTTGCACTTCCCTTGGTTTTTTATTTGTTGCATATACCAAATCTAGTAGGGTTCGACGGGCTTTCGGAAGTTGGCTCCGGCATAAACCGCCTCTGATCCCAACTCTTCTTCAATTCGCAACAGCTGAAACACAGATAAATTTTATCAACAAACTGCTTATAAAAAACACCACCATGAATACGTACTCCTTTTCCTTCACAGTGTTTTGCAGTGAAGATTCGATGTTATATGTGGTCTCCCAAGTCTTACGAAAACCGGTTGGTCTCACATGATCCAAGTCTATCTCTATATATTAATATTTTTTGATTGTGCAATAGTTCATTGAAAAATGTTGTATTTAAGGTGAGAAAAATCAACCTGATTGTACTTGGCAAGACGCTCGGACCTGCATGGTGCTCCAGTTTTGATTTGGCCCTGAAATGGGATGTATATAAGATTGTGAAGACAAGTGAGTTATTTGTTACCCTATATATCTGTACATGTAGATTGATGATTACAAAAGGGTCATTGCCCCAACCGTATCGGGTAACTCAACCTTCCTAGTTCCAATCTCACCAAAAGGTGAGCAGTGTGTTGGTTTCATTTGGCTTATATAAATATAATATACTATTGATGATTACCGTTGCCAAACCCACAGAGAGATCAGCAATGAAGGTGTCTTCTGTTTCCCCACTGCGATACAATAATTAATAAAACCAAAAATTATTATTCAACTGGGAATCGAATGACTAGTTACTGTTAATGGACTTATCATACCTGCGATGACTGGCCATCACACCCCAACCAGCCTGCTTGGACATTTTCACAGCTTCAATGCTTTCAGTCACAGATCCGATTTGGTTAACCTAAAGATAAGACCACAAAATGGGTTAGATTGGTGCGTCAATTATCAAGCAGATGATTGATGGCATATTGGCATACCTTGAGGAGAAGGGCATTGCATGTCTTCTCGGCAATTGCCTTCTTAACTCTCTGTAAACACAGTCCAAGAATGATTAAATTATGTCAGATTGGATATTGAGAAACTTTAGATCCTGACTTTTGGATTCTCATGGGTTGGATCTTTTGGAGTTAAGTGGGAAATCTAACCGTAGGGTTAGTGACCAAAAGATCATCTCCAACAATCTGTACTTTATCACCACATTCTGCGGTCATCTTGCCATAGTGCTCCCAGTCATCTTGGTCAAATGGATCTTCAATGGATACAATAGGGTATTCGTTCACGAAGGACTTGTAAAGATCTTTTAGTTGGACTCCTGAAATCTTTTGTGAACCATTGTTGTTCTGCATTAAAGAATCAATCAATCAAACATGAATCAGAAAACAGTTATAGATCTCTGTTACATCACAAGGCTTTATGTCCAAAAACAGGAATAAAACAACAATGACAATGAATGAGAAACCCACCTCTTCCTTGAAGTTCAGATCATACATCTTGTCTTTTCCGTAAAATTCAGATGCAGCAACATCCATTCCGATCACAACCTATGGGAAAGTAATATTAAGAATGTGTACACTGGTGTAATTTGGTTAACAGTATTCAAGAAAGGTATAATCCCGCATAGGTTCATATATTCCAGGAAATCATGACAGCATGATATCCATCCAAAAAGATTTCTTCAAGAGAGTGGCTTTCAAGTAATCACCTTTCCTGTGTAACCAGCTTGACCAATGGCTGTCTTGAGCAACTCAAGACCCTCCTTGTTTTCCTAAAGCTCAAGATAATACAATGTTAGGAAGCAATAGAAAAAACTTGAAGTTGAATGGCAAAATTATATATGCTAACGTGAAACTATGCTTACCTGAATATTAGGAGCAAAGCCACCTTCATCACCAACATTTGTTGCATCCTGGCCATATTTCTTCTTAATAACAGACTGCAATCAGATGGAAGGATTAGCGATCACACACAAAAGTACAATATACAAGTTTTTGAGTTAATGTGAATAGTGATTAATGGAGACAAAGAAACATGTTTTAAGCACCTTCAAATTATGATATACTTCAACACCCATCTTCATGGCTTCCTTAAAATTGGAAGCACCAACAGGAAGAATCATAAATTCCTATAAAAACAAAGATTGTGAGAACAACTTCATCAAGAAGCATCTATATTATCAAGAGCATGTGTAATCAAGGCTTATACCTGCATAGCAAGCTTGTTTCCAGCATGTGATCCACCGTTGATGACATTGAATGCTGGTACTGGCAATACTAATTTCTTGTTGCCAGCCAAGTTAGCAATATGCTGCACACAGTTTTCCAGTCAAACATATCAATTTATTATACATTTGGGATGAGCAAGAAGATTGAATCTTATGGATCCTCTATAAAAATTACCTTGTAAAGGGGAATATTGAGGACACTAGCCCCTGCTTTGCAAATGGCAAGAGACACTGCCAGAATGGCATTTGCTCCAAGCTAAACATAGTTCACCCATAAGTATGATCAACATCAAGATTTGTGCAAGAAAAAGGATCAATCTAAAATTTGAACCTATACCTTTTGCTTGCACCAACCCCACTCGTTTTTAGTTCCATCAAGTTGTTGAACCATGTAATTGTCAATACCAGTTTGATCAGTTGGGTCCTGTATAACGAACATATATTCTGATCATGTATACGATACGACTCAAAACACCATTCTTATGGGCCTCTACACCCAAGCGATAATAATTAAATTGATATTGACGGGTAAGGCTGATGGAACAAACCTTGCCTACAATAGCAGGGCCAATAACAGTGTTCACATTGGAAACGGCCTAGTCATAGAATGTAAAAGTTAACATGTCAGCATCATAGGGTGTCATATATATATATATATATATATAGATAGATAGATATAGATATAGATATAGATATAGAGATATATATAATATACACACAAACGGGCATCAACATTCCAGAAATTATTAGCTCACCTTGGAGACACCTTTCCCAAGGTAGTCTGAGCCACCATCTCTTAGTTCAAGTGCTTCGTAGATACCTACAAGACAAGAATTTCATGTATATCATATAATCACATCCAAAATCCAAACAAAATTCTGATGCTGTTTACAAACCAAGTACATGCATGCTCACCATCAATAAACAATATCAAAAGGTTATACCGAACAGCTTCAAAACAATTTTGATCAAAGTAGAAAGACATGCGAAGGACGATTTAATGACATTATTCAAACAGAAATTTTCAAAACTTTGTTTCAAGACAAGGATCTTACCAGTGGATGCCCCACTGGGAACAGCAGCTCGGGTCCATGTACCGTTTGATAGAGTAATATCCACCTATATCACAAAAAATAACATCCAAATTTCAGGAAATGCTTATCACATCCGAAATAAGAATACCGAAAACACCGTCTCTATAATATATGATTATGAAGCCATTGTTTATATTAATATACTTGGGCTTCTTTTTCATGACTAGACAGATCATACAAATGATTACTCCAACACATGTAAGCCTTAAGTATTTGCGTCCGTACGCTTGCCTGTTCATACATTTTTATCTATAACAATTATCCAAAAGGAACAACCACGATTACTTAATCATCGCTTCACCTGCTATGATTCATTGATTCATATCAAAATCCATCAAAATAACGAAGATCAATTACAGTATTACAATACAAACCTACATTAATCGAAAACACAATAGAGATCAACGGTTGTGCATGTCTAATGATTACTTAATTATCGTTTCACCTGCTATATTTCATTGATTCATATCAAAATCAATCAAATTAACGAAGATCAATTACAGTATTACAATACAAACCTACATTAATCGAAAACGCAATAGAGATCACCGGTTGTACATGTCTAACGATTACTTAATTATCACTTCACCTGCTATCATTCATTGATTCATATCAAAATCAATCAAATTAACGAAGATCAATTACAATATTACGATAAAAACCTACATTAATCAAAAATGCTAATAGAGATCACCGGTTGTGCATATCTAACGATCTTAATCCAATAAAAACAACGGCGAAATACGATTAAGAAACAAAATGAATCGATGGAAATTAAGAAACAAACCTCAACGGTGGGATTGCCTCTACTATCGAAGATTTGTCGTGCCTTCACTGTCTTGACTGTGGCCATTCTGCTTCTTCGTAGAGTCGAACAATGTTGCAGAAGATGTCAGAAGAAGTGAGAAATTCGAGTGAGACAAGAGGAGAGGAGGTACGCCATGTATTTGTAGGAGGTTGAGCTATTTATAGCCCTCCGACTTTCATGATGAATAAGTCATGAGAATAATACTCCCTCCCTCGGTCAAAAATGAACTTTTGAGTAAATTACACTTTTTGTCCTGTAGTTTTCTTAACATTGTGAATGTTGCCCTTTTACTTTATACATTACGTTTTTAGTCCCTATAGTTTGAAATTCTATCATTGTTTTCGTCCCTAATGCAATTTATTGCAATTAAGTATAGGGGAAGAAAATAATTCTCCCTCCCTTCGTCCCAAAATAAATGTTCACAATGAAAACGACATATGGATTTAGAAATGTGTAATTTTTATACTTCTTAAATAACTAAATGATAATTTTACCTTTGATAATAAAGAGATTAAATTTTTTTCATCACATAATTAAGGATAAAATGGGAAATTGAAAACTTACTTTTGAAAGTCGACATTTATCCCGCGAGAAACCAAATAATAATGTGAACACTTAAATTGGAAGGGAGAGAATAATAAATTGTAAATCATGGGAACGGAAAAAACAATAAATTGTAAACTAAATGAATGAAAATAACAACAAATTGTAAATGACAAATTGCATTAAAAAATAACGTACTTTAACTTGATTCTTATTTTTTGTAACATAGATGTAAAGTTTTAAACATTTAAGTACTCAGTTATCATGCTGATGTGACGAGTGATGTGGTATCCAACTCAGTATTATTTACTGACGTGGTTGGTGACATGGATTTTTTTTAAACTAAAACTAGTCTTCAACCGGTTATCCGGGTACTTAAATGTTTAATATTTTACATCATAGGTACCAAAATGAAAGTTTTAAAAGTAAGTTATCCAAAATAAGAATTAAGTTAAAGTACGTTATTTTTCATGCAATTTGCCCAATTGTAAACTACAAGAATGATAGTTTTATGATTTTAAAAGCATAAGGACGAAAATAACAATAAACCACAGGGACCAAACAACCTAGTTTACTCTAAACTTTTTTTTTTTATTTAATTAAACATTTTTAAATGGTTTTTGTTAAATTTATATTTGTTTATAGTGGATAAATTTGTCGATAAGAATGGTTCACAAACTTTTCCTTTTTGAAAGACAAGCAATTTATTATGAAACGCAGTTGAAATAAGAAGAAATAAAAGGATAAGCTTTTTGCAAGACATAAAAAGTCAATCATCAAAGCAATCATGCAAAACAAACAAGAGCAACACGAAGCTCAAGAGACTACAACAAGATTACAAAAACTAAAGGACGATAAGAAACTCTACGAGCACCCGAAAGTGAAATTAATCCAACCACGCCCAACTAACTCGTAAACAACAAATCTGATGCAACCCACACCTAGCCATCCACTATTTTTCATCTACATCATTCCGTTCAAGATAACTTGAAATCATTTGCACGCTTAAGAACTCCATTGACACTCCAGAAGTTGGACCACGTAAAGATGGTCGATTTGGAGATTAGTCCCAGAAGAAAAACTTGTGTATTTAAATGTTTAAAACTTTACATCTTATATACCAAAATGAAAGTTTTAAAAATACGTTACCTAAAATAAAAATAAAGTTAAAAATACGTTATTTTTTTTTTACAATTTAACCTTTATAAATTTAGTTAAAACTTTTAGGTAAAAAATAATTCTTAATGGTGATTTGTTTGAGCCGAATAATTACAAACCACTCCCGATTTGTTAAGTGGGATGCGAATTAATTGGCATGAAACAACTACAATTATTCACTTAAACAAACATACGGATATGGTGTAAGCAATTGTGGCATGGGTCGGTGCATATCGAGGGTTTGACTTTTTTTTCTCTCTCCAATTTAAATATGCTAATTATTGAACTAAATGGCATATTTATAAATACTGTTACAAACGTACATATTTTCATTATAATGTATATTAAATAAGTGTGTATTTTAAAAAATAAGGGTCTATTTTCTCATTTTGTTCTTTGTGAGAGTTGGTGCAGAATAAATAAGTAGTCAAAATGATTAAAAGACTCTCATTATATAATATAAAATGAAATATATTAGATAATTGTTTATAATAAAATTAGAACGTTGAATGGTTAAGGAAGACCCATAATACAAAATCATTAAAAGAGTTTTAGAACCATTAAAAAACAAACTTTTTTTGTCAAACAAAATTCACCTTTTAAAAGATTTAGATGTTGTATCTTTATAAAACTATTAAGAGGTAAACAAACAATTAAAAGATGAAGAAGTTTTGTTTCTCTATTATTAGGGTAAAACTATCATTAAAATTAAGTAGAAACGTAATAATTGCACATTCTTAAACTATGTCTTTTTTCACTATTTGAAACGAAATAAGTAATAAAACATGCAAATATTCATTGCGATTATAATAAAGGGTGCAATAAATTTTCAAGCACTATAGGAGTGAAGGGTGTAGTAATTGGTACACACAATAATAATGGAATGAGAACTTGTTAGACAATTGAAGACGTCCAATTAAAATCTTACCACGTATGGGTTTATCAGTTGTCTTTTATTTAACCAAATGAGCATAAATAGAACCAACAATCTTACTTGATATGGGGAACAAGACCAAAAACCTTACGATGAACAACAATTCATTTTCATAGCCTTAAATGTTACCCAAAGGGTAAGTGAAGTTGGACAGCTCTTGCTGGTTAATGCTTACCAGATAAGTGTTCGGTAAACAGCCCCTACCACACAATTGTTTGCTAAAACTTTCAAATGCAAGCTAAAATGAAATTTCTAGTCCCAAAAGACCTCTAGCTTTTTTCCTCACCAACCAACATATAGTAGGGAAACTTGCATACCCTTTTTCTAATGCAACAAAAATAATGTTGTAGAAGAGTTTAATTTGGAATTGGACCATTTTCCATGCAAGTAAAAGAGCGTTTAAAATCACAAACGAGCAAAATGGATGAATATAGGTGGTAGACACTTCAAGCAAAACTACCATAAAAATCCAACATGTGGGTAGGTGGTAGCACAATTGCCATCTTTCAAATGTAACACCTCCAAAAGACAGAATTAGGATGGCATCTTTTTTAATAACTAACAACAAACCTACTAAATGACACCAAATAAGATTCTACCCTCACTCTCCAACAAAATCTGCCACCCTGAGTCTGAATCCCAACTTCACCATTTACTTGTGCTTGGCCTGGTTATGAGACTGAAGTGCACTATCTGTTTTGAAGCTCCTGCATACAACCATAATAATATATATACACACACATCATCTCCTGCTTTTCAATTCCATTTATCAACATAATCTTTTTTAACGTTGTGTTCTTGAATTTTCAAAGGAAAGAATTCTCTAGACTAAAAAACTCGAGAACACTATTTTTTCTTTCCCTCCTACTTCCCTTCCTTTCTTATGTAAAAAAAAACTCGAGAACACAGCATAAGGGAACAGGAATACAACATACCGGTTGCAGGACTTGCAAGAAACCGCACCCTCGGATGCCGGGCTTTTCTGATTTGACTTGTTTGCCGGGGTCTTAGCTGCAGCCTGCTTTGATGGGTGAGGTGTGGCTACATGACCACCTTTCTTACCTTCTGTAAATGGATTTATCATCAATATATATGTAAGCAAGTATAAAATTTACAATTTCAATATCATACAGCATTGGTTGCCAAAAGCTAGACTACTTAGAACTATGTTGTTAAACAGAGGAGAAAGATAAAGTGGTATCACCCCCTCTGTCCCCATATGAGGATCCATAAATGAAAAGGGCACCCAATTCCAAAAATGTGTAATTATTACACTTTTTAAGCAAGTAAATGACAAATTTACTCTAAATAATTATTACACTTTTTAAGCAAGTAAATGACAAATTTACTCTAAATAANAATGACAAATTTACTCTAAATAATTATTACACTTTTTAAGCAAGTAAATGACAAATTTACTCTAAATAATTATTACACTTTTTAAGCAAGTAAATCACAAATTTACTCTAAATAATTATTACACTTTTTAAACAAGTAAATCACAAATTTACTCTAAATAATAGAGGGAGTAATGGATTTCTGCATCTCATATATATGGGTAGATTTTGGAAAGTAGAAACCTACTCTTAAAGAATGGACACTTATTTTGGGAGAAACTAAAATAAAATTCTGGACTCATTCTGGGATGCATGGAGTATACCAATAAACCCAGTTTGTCGATCTCACAGATATGTACAGGCACCACATTGAAGTGCCTTCCTAGTTGGTACAAACAATATAATGTCATAGGTTCAGAACAATTGTAAAGGCAATAACTTATTGCAAGCAACAACATGAAGACTTCTGTAAGTAACGGGCCCAGTAGAACATAAAGTTTTAATTTGCTCACTTCATGTCGAAACGCCATTCCAATTATGTAATTATAGAAAGCAAGTAGTACTAACCAGTTTTTTGAGGGGTAGTCAGTTTTGCCTTCTTGTCAGTGCCAGGGGTTTTGATTGCAGACTCATTTGGTCTCTTCTTTCCAGATTGTTGCTACCATGGCGATAACAAATTAAATAAGTCAATAAGTACTTAAAATGATCGAAGCATTAACAGATAATTTCACTAACCTTCTTTGGTGTCTCTTCCTCCTCATCACTGTCTTCTTCCTCATCATCAGATGAATCCTCGTTCTCCTGGAAAAGCACCAAGTATGAAAATGCTCAACCCCTCATCAAAAAAGACAAATTTCCAAGAAGATGATGTGCCAAGTAACTAGCAAATTGCATCAAACTTCAATTCAACCAATAGGTAGAAACAAGTTTTTTGATACAAACACCTAGAAAGCCTAAGTCACAGCATCCAAAAAAAATTTGAAGCATTTGTTTGATCCTTATTTTGATTATTGGTACAATGTCTAGATGCATGTCAATAAAGACAAAATAAAGATAACTTTGAGTTTGACCTAAAATAAAAGCATCAATACAAAACTTCTACAACTGTTTGCTACATGAAACTAACCAATATGAAGTATGAGCTATAAACCATCAAGAAACAAAATAAATCATATAGATATACTTGCAAGGAAAAACTGTACTCACATCCCCTTTTTGAAGCAAAAGAGGCAAAACCCAAAACTTACAGAAGCATAATAGTTTGCACAATAGTCTAAGTACCTCATCATCATCAGAGTCTTCAGACATTGCATCAGAGTCATCACTGTCATCATCGTCAGAATCATTTCCTTCAGATTTGGTGTCCTTCTCAGGTTCCACAATCTTCACATGCTGCTTACCAGGAACTTTGGGTGCAAGATCCTTCTTATTTGGTACCACTGGTTTCTCTTCCTTCTTTGCCTCCTGCTTTCCTGCAAATCCCAAATTAACAAAAATAAGTGAGGCTAACTCAATGATGCACATTCTTAGACATTCGACAAAAAATTACAGGCTACATCTTGTACCATTAGGAATTGGAAGTTGAAGAGCATCTTCTTCTTCTTCAGAATCTAGACAAAAGAAAGTGCATATAAGTAAATAGTTGAAAAAGAGTTAAGCTGAAACTAAATAAAGAAAACAGGATGCAGATGCACACTAACCAAATTCTTCAGAGTCAGTTCAGACAGCAGACAGCAAGTTGGTCAAGGAGGCAACAGCACCAAACTCCAATATTAACAAAAATATTTAAAAATGATAAAAACAAAATACTGGCTGCAGCTATAATTAATTCAGAGATTTGAAGTTAAAAAACAATGTCACGTAAAGGATATTCATGATCATCACTGGGTTGATCAGCTTTGTATCCATAGAAGTAAACACTGCCATTTTTCCAGTTATGTGACAGCTTAAAGTCTTTGTCAAAAACCAAGTCAAATAGTTGCTGAGGCAACCTCTCAGAATGAAGTGTTCCTAGAACAAGCTTCTTCTCCTCAACAGTGATATGCAAGCAAACAGACTCGTTTGATTTGTCCTTCTTGATTTCTCCAAGACAAGCCTGAGTACCATGGAATTTGGTATGTTATAAATCAATGCAGCAAGGTAAACACAGTCCATGGTATCAAGTTAGTTATACCTGTGAAAGATGCAAAACCTTGCCTTCACCAAGGTTTACCTCAAGCGGCTGACCGCTTTTAACTTCAACACCTGCATTAAAACAATATATGAGTTTGCAACAAAAAGCATAACCAAAATAAAGGTCATATAATTGTAACACACACGGTGATAGTTGAAACCATAGAGTAAGATTGTTGAAAACAATTGATATGATCTCTGAACATCCATTAGGGAAAACGAAATGCTGAGTCAAACAAGCTTTAAACACTAGTCCAAATGTTAACCCACAATAACCATTTTCCACCAGAGCAAAGACATCGCCAGATGACCATCCTTGAATGCAATCTTAAAAATCCAGTCTAATGCCCTTTCATGATCCCAATAATTATAAATTCAAATACACTAAGATGTATCCATCAGGGCACAAATACAGGATCCACTCCATACCTTAAAAGTATTGTGGCCGTTGCATATTGGTTACTAACATCCTTCCTTTTACCAACATATAAAAGATATAGCAAAACATTAAACATAGACTATCATCTTCACATCCTTTTACGACAAGTATAAAAACTCTCTTCAAACGAGATTGAACAACCAGAATCATTCGAGGGATAACATCCCATTCAATAACACATATATAACCATTACATTCCCATCAATTCCCACGACGAAAAACCAGCTCAGTTTATAATATGGAAAGGAAAAAAAGAAACATATACGAAAAACAAAGGCACGTAGACACATACATACAAAGCAAGTCCACAGAATCACAAAAGGAAGCATAAAAACGATGCATAACATCACAGTAGGATGATTGATTCGTCTTACGCACATGATTATCAGAAGCGAAAAGAACGTCTAGTTTTTCATCGGAAAAAAAAACCCTAACGACAGAAATGAAACCGGAAACACAGATACACATGAAGATATCAACAAACAATAGGAAGAGAGGAGATTTGTTACCCCAAAACTCCATTGTTGCTGTAGATTCGAGAAAGAAGATGAGCGGCAGAGTGTAGGCAGAAAAACAACGTTAGGGTTTGTGAGAAATGAATACGGAGTTATAAAGCGAGAGCGGGACGGAGGAGGGTTACGCTACAACGCAGACTACCATTAAAATTTTCAAAAATAGATTTGAATATATTACGAAAATACTCCCTCTACTGTTCGTTATCTGCAGGTTTGGTCCAAATGAGTTATTTTTTTAACAATTCGGTCCATGAATCATTAAAAGTAACGAAATTTGAATATTGTTGGTCACGTGCATGTCACATGCGTTATGAAAAGTCACATTTTTTGTTCTTTCTATCACTTTTTAGATGTCAACAAAGAGTAAACCATAATCTTGGATCTTATAACTTCGTACCCATCGAAGAATTATTAAGAAACGAAAGACTACTTAAATGCTTATCCGGTAAGTGTTTATTATTAGAAGTTAACACTATAATTTATTTTACTGAGTAAGATTGTAATACATCAAAACGTATTTCATGCAACAATTTGTCTGGTAAGCGTTTACCCAGGTAAGAGTTGTCACCTTCACTTACCGGGTAAGACTCTCCATCTTTATCATCGTTTTTACAAGATAAGATTCTTGGCTCTTGCCATGTCCATCCGGTGAGGGAAATTACCCAGTAAATACTTATCAGGTAAACGTTTCGTAGACGGCCCCTAGGATTCTATAGCTAGTGTGGTTTCATGTAAAGGGTGCGATATTTTTTTTTTGTAGGTTGGGGGAGGGATGTTAGAGAGTGGACAGTTAAAACTAGGAACAAAGTTTTCCTTACTTGTGTTGTTTGTGCACAGTGTACTGCCTCACTTGCTTTATTGTATTTTTTTTTTTCTTGCGTTATTTCTTGTATGCTTTCAGTGTACCTATTCATAACCTTTTCTAGTTTTTTTTTTCCTTTTCCTTTCTATGTTCACCATATGTTAAGTCTTTGTTTTTGCCATGTGTATTGCACAAGTCATAGATCTTCATGGAAACAACTGTTTTATGTTTTTTTTTATTAACTTGGATATCCAACCCGCTATGCGAGCCGACTAATCCCAGGACGACCACCTGCTTTGCAGATAGCTCAGAGTCACTGCATTTGAACCTCCATGGCCACAAGGGGATTTTCATTCCTCTTTAGATTTGAATATGGGACCTCCTGGTACTTTACACCTTTGGAGCCAAGCTCAAACCAATCAGACACCACCCTTGTGGTTAACTGTTTTATGTTTGCAGTAGAGGTCATATCTCCATATATCTCAACCCCCTCCCTGACCCTATGTTCAAGTGGGGTTTACTTGATTGGTTCGACTTAAGATTTTGTGGTTTATTTGATTATGAGGAATAATGATAACGGAAGGAGAAAAAGTGTTTGTAGGTTAGTCATTTCTTCTTATTACTGGTGGTAGATGTCAACAGTTGGGTGATTTTTCTAGGTTTGAAGGACGAATGTGCCATTAAGGAAACTTGTAGTTAAAAACATGGTTGAAAGAAGACATCCAATTTACTCCGATACAGCTAAAATTTGACTTAACATGATGTGTTTAACAAACGTAAAATCGTTAACTAAATTGACAAACAAACAAAAAAAAAAAAATACTTTCAAATTACATAAAACAAAATAAGAGACTAAAATTTGCATATCTGTCAAATTTCTTCAATACCCGACTTTTTTTCACCAAGTTCGTTTTTAAGGTATTGTTTGACAAAAATAAGCCAATAATGAGCTTGTCATCTATCAGCTAATTTATCAGTTACTAACTATTTTATCAGCTAGTTTGCCAATTATAGCTTAAGAATAGTAAGCCTTACAAGTGATACAAAATTTTAACTAGGGATTAGAACTTTAAATTCTTATTTAATGATATATTAAGGAATAAATAAACAAGTGTGCATACTAATTTAAAAATAGATGCTGCCTATTTTTTAATAATATTGAATAAACAAAACAACATATGCCGAGAGAAGAGAGTACGTGAATGATCGTGTGAAAACGAGAGTTAAGATGAGAAGCGTGAAAAAAATTGGACTCCTGACCATCTTTAATATCAAATCCACCCATAAATCACGTTTGATACGTGGACTAATCCGGTACATCTCAGTGCATCTCATCATAATGTGCATCGAATGGTGGAAATATCTTCTTACGATTCACAACTTAACTTTCATTCTCATCAAAACTCAACCCAAAGGAGTATATATGAACAAAAATATTGAAGTTATGATATTCTCTGTATATTTAATAATTTTCTAAAATAAAGAAAATAAATACTTTAGACAAAATTTTACTCCATCAATTCTTCAAAAAAGAGAAATTAAAGAGAGAATGTGAAATGCTTCAAATTTGAAGAACTTTTAATAAATAATCGAAAAACATATCCAATAGATTTTATAAAATAGAAAATTAAAATTAAAAAAAAAAATCAACTCCATCAGTAATTATATTTTTAAAATATTAATTATACATAAAATTTCATGCAACACACCACTCTTTAGACAAAGCTTAGTTTTTTAACACATGTTAATATGGAACTAAGTGACCGTTTATTAAACGTTTAATCGGGTAAATTTATCAAGTCACATTATTGTATCAGATGAATATGACAAAGACTGAAAATTTACGGAAAGTCTTCCTCAGCAAGCGACGGTGACGACTCTTACCCAGTTATCACTTATCAGATAAATTGTTACATATGATGTTGTTTTTATGGACCAAAATTTTATCCGATAAAATAAGTGATAAAATGTCGAATCCTAACCATAAACGCTCATCGGATAAGTATTTGAGTAAACAACCCCTAAAATATACAATACACAAATGTTGAAAAATGCATCATTTAGTTGGTATTTTTTTTTTAATCTATAGTTCACCACCAAATTGTTAAAAAATTATGAGCCCTAGAAAATATCTAAGACTGAATATGGAAGAATGAACCATCGTGGATAATAGATATTAAGATGAGAAACATAAGAAGAGATTTGAACTTTTGATACTTTTAATCTCACCGCACCCTATGAATTGCACTTATCATGAGAATTGATCTGTTGCATCTTAATTTATTGCATTGTTGATCTTCAATTATAATTAATCTAAAGATGTAGATCTCTTCTCACTATTCTTACCGTAACTTTCATTCTCATTGAAACGGAACGGAACCGCATATGAAATAACTGAGTGTCATATGATACAATAGATTTCAACATCAAAGAAAAGAGAGCTTAAAGCTTTTATATTAGACGAAGTTTCAGTTCAGCCCTCCTAAAAAAAGTCCTGTTGCTCCGCTACCCTTCCGAATACCTTTTAAGCAAGGCACAGTCCTTCAACAACTTCAAAACAGCCAAAATGATCCTTCAATTTACCAAACCTGCCAAAATACGGTAAATTATTCGATAAATGTCAAGATGGTCCACCAATCACATGCTATCTTAAGAAATAATTCTTAATTATTTTAGTCTATTTTTGAATTTCGAATTTTTTGCTAAATCTGCGAAAAATAGACCCTATAAAGTACTTATTTCTGTGAACTTGGAATTTATTATGGAAGATTGTTATTTCAACACTAATAAACAACTAAAGTCATTCCTTCAAAGAAAAGAACAACTAAAGCCAGCTTATTAAATCAAGGAGGAAAGTTCCGTTAGGAACCCAAAATTAACTAGGAACCCGGCACGCCACATGTCTCTCTTTAAGATGAATAATCATCATGAATCACACATTCATGATGAATATGGACGTTTTATTCATCATGAATCACACAATTATGATGAATATATTACAACATTCATGATGAATACATTACAATGTTCATGATGAATATGCCACGTGTTGAGCTGTGGACGGTTCTCGGGTTCCTAATCAATTTTAGGTTCCTAAAAGAGTATCTGTAAGATTATCAAACGTGAGTTTTTTTTTAAAAAGAGACCTTTATCAAAGATTAATCCATCGATGAATCTCCACATATCTGCATATTAGACATAATACCATCAGGGTAGTACTGAAGCATCCACATAACTTGGTTGACGAGTAAGAGGTTTTACCAATGGTTTCAAAGATTCCATGATACTGGCAAAGGACGGGCGCTTCCATGACTCACTGCAGTATCAACTTTTGGTTCAATACGACTAATCTCATTGTGGACCAACAAAATATCATCATTCGTAAACGAAATATCTATGAACTCACTGTTCCCAGCAGGCTTCCATCAAGGCTGCTAGTTGACGATTTATATCACGAGGAATCTCGAGCCTTTTGTGCCTATAGCCTACTGCTGCCACAACCTACAAGGATATAAAGAGATATTGCTTTATTAGAAGAGGTGTTTTAGTATTTTTGGGGAATTATTCTGTTCGCAGAAGGGGACTTTGGGTCATATCTAGAATAATCTAGAATAGTCCTATTATGCTAGTAATATCAATTAGTGGGTCTGGTTGTGGGAGAGTCATGCAGAAAATTAGTGGGTTCTATATGGGAGAGTTCTAGCCTCTCGAATGCTAGTTTGTTCTTCTTTTTCCTTGTTAATTGAAGCATTTGACAGTGTCCTTATCACTTGGTTTCTATTTCAGTTGTTCAATCGATTCGGTTCATAATATATGATCATCTAAACGATTGGTGTGACTGCATAAGAAAGGCGTAGATGGCATCAGGATTCCAAGGAGATCACAACTCTAAATTCTTCATTATTAATGACCTACAAAATCTAAAATACTTCTTGGGGTATTCAAGTAGCCAGACCTCGAAAGGGCATCTTTGCATTCCGTCCTCTGAACTAGATTGCATATGTAACTCCCTCTAGATAGAAAGATTGAGGGGGTCAGATAGAAATCCTACTGTATTACAATTATATTCATATTCTTCAAGCTGATCCCGAATCTCACAAATAATTTCAACCCAATCTCCAGAGATACAATTCGGTATGTGAATCGGCCATTGTGCATTCAACGGCGCTGACTTTCATTATCTGGGTCTTTTCGGGTGGAGAAAGTTTTACATCAAAGCACGTTGAAATGTACTATCCATATACCCAAACTTCCTAAGTTCATATAGGATTTCACCTCTTTGCAATTTCTTGTGGCTTAMATTTTTAGCCCACACAACTAGTTTGGAAGCTTCTAGTTGTTGTTGTTGTATCTAGGGGTGTTCATCCATATTGCCAAACCGTGTTTAGAACTTCCATGGTGCGTTTTGCAGTTTGTATTTACCAAACCACACTATGTGGTGCGGTTTGCGCTTTAGAGTTATCAAACCGCACCACACATTCTATATACATATATTTTTTAATTTATACTATTATATATATATATATAATAATTAGGCTAATTTACGTAATATTTTTAGTTTTCTTGAACTATCTTGAATATGTAATACTTTTACACTATTTTTAATTATGTAATATGTATTTGGAGATCGGATGTATTTTAATTTATTGGGAAAAGTTCAAAAAACCCCAACAAACTTTGCATTTTAAATGGTTTAGTCCCTAAACTATTTTTTTGAATGAGAAAACCATTAAACTTTCTCATTTGAATGATCAAGTCCATGAACTATTTTTTTGAATGAAAAAACCATTAAACTTTCTCTTTTTGATTGATTAAGTCCCTAAACACTTTTTTAGAAATAAACCATCGCACTTTTAGAAATTGTTTATCTACATTTTTTTAACCCAAAAGGATTACATTAACCGACTAGTAAAAGTTCGATAGTTTATTTATTTTTTTGAAAAAATTCAGGGTCTTAATCATTCAAAATGTGAAAGTTTAATGGTTTTTTCATTCAAAAAAATAGCTCATGAACTTAATCATTCAAAATGAGAAAGTTTAATGGTTTTTTAACTCAAAAAAATTGTTTAGGGAATAAATTCAAAATGAGAAGGTATGTTGGATTTTTTTGGACTTTTCCTTTATTTGATTGGATTATGGTCACGTTATCGTTGATTTTATAATAAAATATGCTAGATATAAACAGCATAAACCGCACCACACCACATTTCATAGTGCGGTTTTTGGTGGGTTGAGATATCTGCGGTGTGGTTTGCAATTTGGAAAATGCTCAAACCGCATAAGCAGTGCGGTTTGTGGTTTGGCCCCAAACCACACCATGAATTCCCCTAATACAGAGCACAAATAAGTGCGTAATCTAGTTTTCAACAATCAAAGACTAATTAAAGGTACAAACCTGAGGAGCATTTAGATAACTCCAAGGCTCCTGCAAAGTAACCAGCTCCCACAAAATAACCCCAAAGCTATACACATCTGATTTCTCATTTGATGGTTCATCATTTAGGACTTCTGGTGCCATCCACTGGGGCTGTTATAACACAGAACATAATCAAAAAAAGATAAATTCTATTTAGTTAAAGACAATAGAAATATAGTCGAGCTAAAGAGAACTCACAGTCCCTGCGAGAGACTTGGACGAAAGAAATGTATTTGCTTTTAACCGTGATAAGCCAAAATCACATACCTGAATAACAAATCAGACAGGTTAAAACATCAGGATAACTCACTTATCAAGTAACTCCATGATTTAAGAAAATAATCCAACACAATGTAGCCAAGACATAACACCGGGTTAACTCGCTTATGAAGGCCGAAATGTACAAAGCAGGCCCAGACAAGTCCATACAGAAGGAATGAAATACAAATTTTGCGTAGTTTTTGATATAGGATGAGGAAAGGAATCCACATCATCATAAATCTTATATTTCACAGTTCTATACCCTCATAATTAATATTTTATTTTTGTTCAAAGGATACATAAATACAATATAATTCATTGTTTATTAGACATACAATGTGTACATTGTAAAATTTATGCCATGGATTCAATAAGGATCTCAGACCCATCCACCCAAGTATTCTGGAGACTAAAAAGCAACACAGCATCGTTAGATTTGCAAAAATGAATGCACTACAAAACTTTTAGTAAGAATTAAGGAAAAAGAAAAGCTGCAGTTTTACCTTGACAGTATAATTTTCATCAACTAAAAGATTGGGAGATTTCAAATCCCGATGAACAATGGGAGGATTGCGTTTGTGAAGATAATTCATTCCTTTCGCCTATATAGAAAAGCAGTTAACTATATTAGACGATAATAAAAACACTGAAGAAATGAGTGGGCAATAGAAATTAGAACGCGGAGATACAAGTTTTTAACAAGAAAAAACAAATGAGACTGCGTACTTCCTATGGCATGTGCACCAAAAGGATTTCAGTCATCGTTTTTATTTATTATTACTATTAGCATCATTTTTACAATTATAATTGCCACTATCACTACTCACTGTCAATACTACATGTTGAAGTGCCCACAGGCCACACTCCTTTGACATCTGAAAAAAAAAGATAACAGGTTTGAATACTCTGCTGTAGAAGGTGTCAGGCAATTACCACATCAAAAGCCATCCGTAGACGACCACGCACATTCAACACCTCTTTTGGACCAGGTTTGTGCAAAAGCCTAAACAAACTACCTCTGCAGTTCAAAATAAATACCATAAAGTTAGGCCATATGAGAATTTTGAATGAATAATCTTCTTCTCAATGATTAATTCAGGATATATACATGATATGGGTTAGGTTTAGGGGAAAACTGCAAAAACAAGAAGAACTGAGGAACACACTTCTAACCGTACCCTTGTAACCGTTCATCTGGACGGTATGCACATGTATATAACATGCACACTTACATAAAAACCAAGAAACAACTTCAATTACTTGTATGCACATGTGCATACCGTCCAGATGAACGGTTACCAGTGTGTTCCTCAAATTTTCATTTTTTTTGGGGTTTTCCCTGAACCTCTCTATACATGATATATACGCACTTCTATACAATTTGAATAAGAAACTAATTCCTATAAAATTGTGCATTAACATATATTAGAACTATTTGAGTTTGCTAGTTTTGTTGTGTCCATAAATTAGGAAACTAGTTCTTAAATTGTAGATATATTCAACAGAACATATAATCTGACTCTCTTCACTGATAACATAAAGGTCATGCTCAGACTGATACCTAAAACTGTAGATGCTGACCTTGATAAATATTCAGTGACTATTGACAGATTCGGGGGTTGAGTAACAACACCCATAAAAAGAACGATATTTGGATGATGCAGGCGCCTCATTATTGCAACCTAACAAACAGTAGCAGAACAAAACAACAGTCACTAAAGACATAATTTCAACCAAAATATACAGAAATAAGAAATTTCTTATAGCCTAGATCCAAATCAACTGGGAAACATGGTTAGGAGCCTAGGACTTGCCTCCTGCCAGAACTCGTTGAATCTCTCAGGATGAAAATCTTGTTCCATGAAAAGAGTCTTCACAGCGACGTCCTAGAAATAATGGAGTTCATAAAGTTTAGAATTTTAGGTAAGATACTTGACATGAAGTGTTATCAATCACTATGAACCAACATACAAACTGCCAATCAAGCAGGAGGATGGGAAACAAAAAAAATGTAAACTCGTTCCCAGTGGCACCTTCAAAAGAAGAAAAGCTGATTCACGACATGATATATAATCATTGTTAAAGATTGAATTTATTAGTTCCAAATGGTTTGTTCTAGCACAACAAAGAACATGAGAACTACCTGATACAAACAAGTAGGGTGACAAGGTATGAAAATTTTGTCTTGTTATTGTTGGTGGCGATTCAAAAGTAGGAAAATATTTCAACACAACAAGATATGCAATCATTAATAAAAGCTGATGATTTCTAGATGGGTTTTTCTTAGCACGAACAAGAGACATGAAAAACCATCTGATAAAAACAAAGTCAATTTTATAGTTATATTTTCAAAGCAAGCAGAGTCAAGCTTCTCATCAGCTTTATAGATTCAGCCACAATAACTAATGAAGTTTTAATAAGGGAGCATTTCAAGATCTTAACAAAGGCTTGTATTACAAACGAATTCAGGTAGACAAAAAATGACACGGGTTAGTATTATAAGCAGTTAACCATGACAAAAGAGGTTAAGCCAAGCCTTAAAAGATCTCCAATCAGCCAATTCGTTTTCTTATTTTTGTTACCTGTTATGAGACGAAGTAGAATTAATATGATAGTCTCTTCTTGTTTAGTTTGTTTTCTAGTGCTACCAGCAGACATCTAGCCTTAGCTACAAACTTCATTCCATTTCTTTTCCTTTCTGCTTTGTTCCATTGTTTCCATCCAGTTATGTTTGTTTCCACCACACTTCAGAGATATTTCCCAAGGGATGGGACAAAATCATCTAACCCTCTAGATACATTTCGTTTTGCTACTTTTCACCTGGTTATCCTCCTAGTTCCAAATCAGGCTCCATTTTGGTATCCAAATGGTTTCTGTCACATAAGTTACTATCCCATACATATCTCTGATGGCATTACCAAATTTATAGGGGCTCTCTCTTTTTCTATAGCCACCGCATGACTCTCATGGGCGCTAGCAAAAACCTTCTCTAGGTCAAATAATAATATATCTTTTCATTAGCTGGTTGGTCAAAACATCGTGCCAATAGTCAATTATTCAAAACAAAAATATATACTTCATTTTCTGACATTGTAGCATCAATTCCTTTGCCGAATCTTAGCTTCAATATGGCTCACAAGCTTGAAGTCCAACAATTAACAATTAAGCCCACATTCTGTATTTGCTTAAAACGTACATACCCACTTAGTTTCCTCCAAGCACAAGATATTCAATCTCCAACATTATCAACCAGCTCCCTTAGTTTCGATAGCGAAAATCAAACATTCAAACTATCAAATGATCTCCTTCGTTAGGAGAATGAAAAAACAAAGTCCATAATCACCTCCTCTCATACCTTATTCGGTAATGTAAAGGCTGTCAAATCCAGATGGTGACACGGCTATATATTTGTGTCATTGTTGGCACATCATATTGCGCCATCTCTTCCACGTCTTTGTACATACCAACCCAGTACAACCTGCTGCCATATGGCGATAGGTCTTCAAGACCCTGGAGTGCCCACCAATTACACTCCCATGTAACTCCCCCGACAAACGTTGGAATGTTAAGATAGAGGTGCATGGTAAGACTAGCCTTCCACGAATCCTGATACAAAAAGTCATTGTCCTTCCATGGTGTAGCCAGAATTTCTTATCCCCCCTCCCACTAACGCAGTCCGAATGTGTTGCAACCCCTAATTTGGAGAAAGAAAAATCTCTACTGACTAATTTTATTTTTTCTTGATTTTTTTCCTAATAAAGTATATTGGTAATCTTCATCTCTAATAGTGCATCCTATGGGTTGTACAATGTAAGTAATTCAATAAAGTATTCTTCACAATCTCCTGGCATTCCCACTCTCCTTGTAGACGATCTCATATTCAAAATACCCAGATTGCCCCCGTTTACTAATTTTAATACTTACATTTGAATAAAGGGTAAACTGTTTTATACCTAAAAAATTGCACATTTAGCAAAATTAGCACATAAAAAAAGTTAAGAGTGTGCTACTTACAAAACCATCCCAAACAGCACGACGAACAGTACCAAAAGAACCTGAAAAGTGCACCAAGTAACTTTGTCATGATTGGATGTATAATAGACAACATGGCTAAGCACGGTTGAGCAAAAGGGAGTCGGAGAGTTCTTTTTTTTTTTCCTTTTGTTGGGGGCAAAAGGGGTTGGAAGTTAATCTCTCTTAGTCTAATGGAAAAGGGGTTTTCCCATGTAACTTTTTTTTTTGGGGGGGGGGGGGGGGGGGGGGGGGGAGAGAGGGCCGGAAGTGTAGGCTAGGTTTGTGTTTTTCCCTTGCTTGCACTGTGTATGTGCTGCCTTGCTTTGTATGCATTTCGCCATACCTTGTGTTTGTTTTCAATATACCTACTTGTTATCTTTCTTTCTTTTTTTCTTAATTTTCTCATTCTACCAATCTGCTCACACTCTTGCATAAGCCAAGGATCTTTACAGAAACAACTGCTATTACATCTCACCCCACCCTACTTTTGTGTGGGATTTACTAGGTTTTGGTTTGGTTTGGTTTGGTTTGATAACAGACAACATGGCAAGGAATGTGTGGCCTTCCAATACAGTTCACACCATCCAAATAAGAGAAAAGAGGTTACCTTCTCCAATTTTCTCTTTTAAAGCCATATTGGTCCATGGAATGTCAAAAACCTCCACGTCGAGGTTACCTTCGTTGTTGATTGGACTAACCATATCAAGATCAACGTAATTTCTATCAGATTGCCGAGGAAAGAGAGCACCCCCAAAAGCTCCATCACCTGCAATAGGGAAAGGAAGAACCAACATTTCCCATGACATATCTTGCTTTTGGAGGCACACTTAGCATAATGCTTCTTCTGTTCTCTGTTATTAGTCCTATTTTGATCTTGAATGTCGAACTTGTATTTACCAAAAGTTTAATTACTGCTATCTTGTTACAATTTTAACACCAATTCTTCTTGTACAGTTCCGGTTTTTTACTTTATCAAACTCAAAATATGAAAGAGACAACAAAAAATTACAATTCTTCCAACATTTCATGTATAATAGTGAGTTATCATTTGAAGGCATCAAATAACAAGCTTGAAAACCAAACACAGACAAAATTGCATATGTAAAATCCTTATTTCGTGTCAGTTCTCTAAAGATCTCTGCCTAAGGCTACGTAAGTGGTTGCCCAGCCAATAAGCTTTGCCGCCACTAATTCAATTAGTTTGAAAAAGATGAACCCATACACAAAATATTATGTATTCTTTGTCAAGTCATAGAAAAGATTAAGCTGATAGATGGCATGTCCAACAGTTATATCTACCTTCAACCTACACACGTATACACATACATAAACATGTGTATAAGTATATGCATGTATGTATATCTATTTGTATGTAAATTATCTTGCTATATACGTATACATGTGCACATGTATGTGTGTGAGTGTATATATATGTATATGTAAATATAGATTAACAGGCTTGAACACTTAGACATCTGTGTCACACCAAAAAAAGGCCTGTCTAAATCCTGAAATTTTTTAAAACATTGAAGGTTTACAAGAATGATTGTCAGAACTCTAAAAAGATCTTCATTTAGCTTATACGTGTGGTAAATAAGTATAGGACACACATTCTCCAGGTTCTTCAATTTCAAGTAATTGGTGTCCCTCACATGATCATGTTTTCATCTAGAAATGTAATCCCTAGGTGCAAAGTGCATGAAATTCACCCCGCGGGAGCGGGGAGTGGAAAAAAAACACAGGCCCTAAGTAATCTAGCATAGAGATGAATACACTAAAACCTTTTAATGGTTTATCATTTCCTTCACTAAACAAAGAGAGTTAATTATTCCACTGAAAATATGTCCAAAGAAACTTACTAGTAGGTGGATCTTCAAACACCAGATTTAATGATTCACAGTCTACGAAGTACCGTCTGGCGAGGGACTCAAAATCAACCACGGAGTTAATATGTCTAAATCGCGGAAAGTGCAATGGGGAAAATATTGAGATGGAAGATGGACCATTTATTAGAGAGTCAGGTTCACAGAGGCAACCGGGGTTTCCAACCAAATCAACAAGGACCTCCCTGCAATTTGGACCTCAATTTTCTTAGATTGAGAAAAAAAATGATGTCATAATAAGCAAGATGCACATATACATACACTGAACCATCATAGAGATTATCTCCACTGGGTCTTCCTTGCTAAGGGATACTGCCGGAATGGTAATTTAACACAATATTTGCAACCAATATGAATCACCCTTGTTTCTTTTTTATTGTACCACACCAAGTCTTTAACTACCTAACTATAATAGCAGAAAAGAAGATGATAAAAGACCTTCCAGCCTAGTGGTAAAGGCTTGGGCATGACATAGTCATGAACCCGAGTTCGAGCCCTGGGAAGGGAGTGTTGGCGACATTTAAGTGAGGCCATGTTTAGCCTTCAAATTTGCCGGGGGTCAGTCGGGCTTTGGCCTGGACACCCTTACAAACAAAAAAAAAAAAAGATGATAGATGCTAGGCATGGCTAGAGCTCCCAAAATTTACCTGTCGCCAAAACGAACAAGGCAAGATGAGGCATCATCTCTTCTGCAATATTTGCAACCCTTGGCTATTCGACATGGTAAATCAATGGTGTCAGCTAAGACCTGTAGAAGCCATAATAGAAGACACGTAAAACTTACCTAGAATTCTAATTAAAAAAAGTTCAACAATAATAACAATAAACACATCCTACGGGTCTCCTATTGTTATACAACCATAAAAAGAAATACCCAAGGTTAATCCAGCATAAGGAATATGTTGCAAACTGATTCAAACCTCAAGTTCTATTGTGAAGATAACAAACTAAATCACCTATTTGCTATCGAATATGGTAGTGTCACCTGTTTTCAGGTTTTCTAAAAGAGTAGACCAGTCATTCCTACATCATTCCTTAGACTCATTTGTCGCAACTTGTGCTACAGAAGAGAGGGGGACGTTGTTTGGACACAATAGAAGGAGCCACTGCTTATTGGTTTAAGGTCTTCCTATTGAAACCAACATACTTCTAGTAAAGTTAGAATAGCAAACTTGCTACTTTCAACAGCAAGAGTTTTACACTGAAAGGTCCTATAAAAAATGAATTGTTTAGACAGATATCAGCAAGTTACAAAAACAAGCAACTAAAGTTTTGACGTAATTTTTAGCAGAGCAATTGGTTCATATGCATAACATACTTTAAACAGTAGAGCCCGATGTCTGCAGAGGCCAGCAGAGAGACTACCCATTGGAAGTACAACAGATCCTAGACGTTCCTTCAAGTCATTACTGCACTCCTTCCACAATAGAACCAAGTCCTCTTCTCCAGCTGAAGCGGCACCTCTTGTGAAGGCAACAAAATCAATTTGTAAGATAGTACAAAAGACGCCGACACTTCTGGAAGTTATATATTAAAGAACGAGCTAAAATCTCACCCCATTTTATTGCAAATGAGTTTTGCAAGTTGGTCAACAACGTCTGTTGTGGTGCCGCTGTTACAGAAAATGCTACGAATACGGTTCTGCAGTTCCCTGAGGCTGGAATCACCAAGTCTGTCAATCAAAACGACTTCGATTGCAGATTCAGTTCGAGCATTAACAGCTTTTAGTGACTCAAGTGATGGAATTTGTCCACTCTGTTGCCGATTACTGCATACCGCCCATACATATGGATCCATTCCATGGATAACGTAAAACCCATCTGGGACCTTGTCAAAGTAAGATAAACAACCATTTGCCTGATAAAAAATAACCCTTAAGAGTTGGAATACATCAGGTTAGATCTTTCAAATACATTTGACAACTTTATTACTCTGCATTCGTTATTAGATGGTCCATTCACAATATATCACTAGAAACGGAAATATGCATTGAGGAATATTATAAACTAATAAACAGGGCAACAAGACAACAATCGTGATCCTAATAACGGCCTACCAAAGGGCTTTGGCCTAATGGTATTTGGGCCATTGGCCTCCCAGGAGGTTAAGGTGATGAGGGTGTGTGAATTCTTTTGTTGTATTTTTCGTATATAAGTGGCCTCCATGGATAATGTTCTATGTAAAGTTTGGTCCTAAAACCTCCTACAAGAGAACCCAATGCCTTCTTTTAAGAAGCCAACATTGTTGTATACACGGTCTTCAAAGTGAGATACATAGCGAGGTTCAGCCCCACGTAAAAAGAACAACAGAATCTTACTTGTATCTCTGAGCTATATATACGAACTTTAGGCATATCATTTATCCCACATTGGAAGAGTGATAAATTCTTCTTTGGTTTATAATTTCTAAATAACTTGTAGAGTTGTTTAAGAGATTAGGTGAGCTGAGGATGATCGGCCTTGTTTGTGTGAATTTAACGCATGAGCTTCTGGAGTTTGTGCACTCGAACAGTACCTCCTGCAACTTAACCCGCCAGAAAAGCCACTTCACTCGCCATTGGATGAATTTTTTGATCGTTTTCTTACAGGTTTTTTCTTTGTTCTCTGATTCGGACATAATTTAAATTTAGTTAACCTTATCCAAACCAGTTATAAATACAATCCTAATCATCTTATATCGCATCTCTTAATCCTCTTCCTCTCTACATAGAAATTTCTGCATAACGTTAACTGGAAAAATATATTTAGTTGTTTGATAAGTTTTATTGATTAAGCAATCCTGGCGTGTATTAAGCTTTAACCGAAACAACCTTGATAGTGGGGCTAATAATATCCTAAGAATAGCGTTTATTAACGTCCTAATCATTGTTTTACTGCACTATTTCTCCTTCTAGTATTGATGCATGTGAGGACAAAACCATTAGGTAGGGGTGACAAATATGCTCGAATATACTCATAGCAGTCAATTTCTTCTAAGAATTAGTGCCGGTTACCAACTAGAATCATGGTGCTATTGAATAGAATTCAAACACAAATTGCGCGCAACCACATACCCAGAATCGACGTGACAAATCTTCTGCAGAAGAAGCAGAAGCCATAGATGATCGCGAGGTCGCAGTTTCATCCAGAACGGGATCCAGTAAATTAGGATCATCCGTACACGTAGCTTCTGACGTAAGCCGTAGCGCCAAAGCCAACTGCAATTTATAACCCTCCTCCGCTTGTTGTGCCCAACTTTTCAACGAAGAATACCATCCGTCACCATCACCTGCCTCCGTCAACTCCAACCTCAACAACGGCTGGCCGTCACCGCCATCAGATAAGTGAACGTATGCATCATCATCGCCGCCGCCACCACTACTTGTCGCAGCGAAGGACGACGGAATGAAGTAATCATCTGATAAAGAACTTTCAGTATAACTACTCCCACTCGATTGTCTCTGCAAACCACCAATCGACGCGGGAAAACTCGACTGCCGATTCTGCTGCATCCTCTGATCAGTGATCAAGTTCGTCAACTCCCAATCAGATTCTCCTCTTTCCTCCTCCTTTTCTCCGGAGTGAGACTTTTGAGATGACTCGCATCCACCGCTACTAGCTCCACCGGAAAACTTATATCGGAGGTTGTTGTTGTCGGAAATACGAGTCAAAAAGGTGTAATCCGATCGTTTATTGGGCATATCCAATGATCCCTGTGTGATTCCACCCTCAAAGTCACCATTGTAGATTCTCTGTTTACAGAGAATTTTGTTCCTGTTTTCATGGGGGAGGAAAGGGGGGATGTTTCTGAGGGCAAAATCGTAAAACCATACAATTTTGTCTCCGTTGGAGCGGGGACACGTGAGGGTTGATGGAATATTGAACGAGAAAAAGGGGAATGTTCCGAGGGCAAAATGGTAAACTCGATCGTTTTGAGATAGAAAACTCTAATTTTGGTCCTTGTAGTTTGTAATAATTTCGAAAATGGTCCTTTAAATGCAAAAAGTGCAATAAAATCCAAACATGAATTCCGGGATATTGCCATCCAACATCAACAAGATCAACAGTTCCATAAGTTTGGGCCTCTGTTGCTAACATAAAAACAGTTCTTTCATGTACTTTCGTCCACTCTCCTCTCTTTTACCCCCGGACTTCTTCGACCACCTCCTTCCCCTTCCTTCTTGGGTTTCTTCCGTATATTGTCACCGTTGATCGTAACAGGCAGGCCCAAGAGGGGCACTGTTCTTCAAAACCAAAACAAAAACCAACAAACTCTATCATAGTTCTTCAAACCCAGACTGAATCATCATTCATCGTTCCCCTTCTATATGTTTTTGAGGTGTATCGATGGTGGTGATTTATAGAAGCATCTAAAACATACACATTATGACCATTTTTGGATATCTGATTTCAGACTTTTAATATCAATTTAATCTTTATTCTTCTAATACTTTTTTCACTTCAAGAAATCTCGACAAAGTTTGGGTGGTTTAAGAGGTTACCCACAAATTATTCTTTTTAGACAACCGAAAACAAGCATAAGCGTGTTTAATGGTAGTTCAATTGCATAAAACGGATTTAATGATAAGTTAAAGTACGTCTCTCGAATATAAGTTGTGTTGTTATAAGTTATACCACAACACATGGACCTAGAAGCATTTTCATCATAACAGTATTGTTCGAAGTGTGCAAAAAATCATCCGATCTAATTTAAACCAACTGGTCCAATTATAACCAATCGATCATAATCAGACATCCAATTGTAATTGGATCCACAATTTCAACATCCAAATTAGATCGATCGGTTCTTGAATAACAGTCCATAATCCAATAATACCAAATCAATCTAATCCAATTATCATCTAATTTCCCATTCAACCACCATCCAATTATTAAGTACATATAATTATTAGCATTTTACGATATATTTTACTTGATATTTATATGTAATTGTTTTTAATAAATTAAGAAAATATATGGATAATGGTTGAAACGGCTGATCCAATCGATTGAAAATTGTATCAAAATATTCGATGCATGATGTATCTAATCTGATCCAGTAAATAACCAATAGTAATATAATATCCAACAGATCGATCTACACGAAATCTAGTTTAATAAAAAAAAAAATTATTAAAAACGTTCAATATTTTACGAGTTGGAATCCACAAATCAACCCCTACGGATATCGTTGCGTTCCAATCTCATCATCGAAACTAATATCCTCACTCTGCCAATTATCACCACCTGAAGTTCCTAAATTCCATAATTCCGACAAGTCGCCACGGCCGGCACCAAACTCCGGCAACTCATAGTTTCCAAGATCGGTCCATGTCTCTGCATTCGTCTCAAAACCCATGCTCCAAATATCCTCTTGTTTCACAGTAATGTCTTCAATCCCACCGGAAATGGGCTCCAACACCTTCTTCCCTTTAACCAAATCCGCCGGCGGAGATAAGTAGTCCTCCGGTCCGGCCTCCGATTGCATATCTAACATGGTTTTCCCTTTCGAATCGTGATCATGGGTTTCTATACCGAAATCAAGATTCGAAAGAGGAATCAATTCATGGGGTTGATATTCAACGAACTTTCGAGCAGTTCTCGGAGCCGAAATACGAATCTGCTGTTCTTTCTTCGCTCGTAAAGAAGACAAGAATGTTGGTTTTCCAATCACTTTACCCAAAAACGACACCATTTGCTTCTGACTGTGTTCGGCTGCTTTGAGTTTTTCGTTTACGGATTCCATATACCGATGCGTTTCACGCTGTTCATGTTGTAACTCGATAACTTCTTGCATCATTTCCGTCTTTTCTTTCCGCAATCGTTCGACTTCAGCTTCGATCGACTGGTTATTTGCTTCGTCATTTGTAGACTGATTCGATTTACGCCTTTGAATGTTCTTCAAAAGATACCGCTTTCCTTTCAAGAAACTTCCGTGCGCAAACTCCCACCTGTCTGTATCAATCTTGCGAAATCCCTGAATCGAATCACATGAACCAGTAAAAACAAAAATGTGCAGAAGATGATCAAACATTTTTCATTCAACATCATCAATCGGCACAAGAAAGTAAACTAAATCGAGGTAATCGAATTAAGAGACGAAATCCACTTCAATCTGCATCGATATAACACGAAAAGAGCAAATACCCAATTCGAAAACCAGTTCAATTATGCGAAAATCGATCATTTACAGAGCAAAAAATGTAAAATTTACATCGAAATTATACAAAACGCGAGTAAGAAAGACGAATTACAAAGAGGAAAGAACATACAGATGAAGAATTGGAGAAGAAACAAGAAAAAAAAGATGAGGATTTACATACAAACTAACACAGTGACGCCATGATCAAGGGTTTGAAGCTTAATAATTACCCACATATGTGTTAAGTTGTCGAACAAAGCTCGAGAAATTGTTGTGTTTGAAGTTTCTGGGTAAGATTATTCGGGCGAACTCTATCGGATCCCAAACCACGAAGCTCTGCCCATTGCTACCCCATGAGATAATCGGATCTAGATTCGGGTCATCCACAAAATCAAAGGTTTTGGACAAGAATGGCGGAATTTGTATCCCTTGTAGACACTCCAACGGTTGGGGAACCACTTCCCTTTCTCCGATTGTCGTCATCATCGCATCTAATCAATATCCATTAGAAGAAAGAAAAAGAACACATCAAATTCTAATCAAAACATGAGAACAAAAATCCATCAAATTCGAATGAAAATTCTAACAATTAAACAAGTGTTCGAGAGCAGGGGATTGCGAATTTGGAATCGATTCGGTTCAATTCAAAACTATGAACTGATTTCGATTGGAATTTGGGTGCACAAATACACCAAAAAACAGAGTGAATTGGGGGAAAAGAGTAAATCATTGTTAAATCTAAAGAATACCCACCAAAGGCCACTGAATTGGGAACCGGCTGCTGGTGTGAGATCGGAAAAGGAGACGGAACAAGTGGAATGGAATCGGAGGCAGTCGGAGAAAGCGAAGAAGAAGACGGAGGATGCATTGAAGATGAATTGTCGGTGGGGGAGATGGGGAAATTGGGTATATATAGGTAATGTGCATAAAAATCTGGTGAGAAAGGCGGTGGAGTCCACCAGTGTTTCTGGGCGGCGCATCCATGGCCGACCTTAATAAGTTCTATGGCATATATTTTTTGACGGGGCTTTTGGTTTTCAATTTGGACAGTTTAAAAGGGGAAATTGGTGTGACCAATCAGGTGTTAGATCCCACTTGGCAAAACTTCCTTATTAAGAAACTAATGACGAGTAAATTACAATTTTAGCCTCCTTTGTTTTTCTTGGATTGGGTCCTTAAAAAGAATAATTACAAGAAAACCTCTATAATATGCAAAAATGCTTAGTTTTAGTCCCTTATATCAACGGCTGTTAATTACATCGGTTAAGCAAAGGGTGATTATGGTATTTCTCCATCTTTATTTCATTTTTTTTAAATAATAAACCATATAATTTATATGTGTATATGAGAAAGAGATAAATGTAAACACGGGACCACTGATCAACTCCCTAGTCCCTCTTTTCCGATTCAAATCTCATAGCTACCATTTCATTATTGACACCTGCCCTCAACCCTATCACATGCCCTTCTCTTTCTTTCCTTTTCTTTTTCAATCAAGGTCCAAAGACCCCTTCCTTTCCTCCTGCCTCGATCGATCAGTCACCTCTGAGCAGCAACACCACTTTATCTCTCCATCGCTAAGAAAGACGAAAGAGCTTTGTGATGGATGAGTGAAGGGTTCGCGAAACCTTAAGAAGATTCCAGTGAGGATGCTTTTTGATATCCTCTTCAGTAAGCTATCATCGCTTACTACCCATTAGCTTATTTATTTCTTCACCTCTCAAATAAATCATCTTTGATTCCTGATTTGGCTATGGTTTATAGAGTTCGATTCACGGGGTAATTTGTGATGTAGGTTTGACTTTTATTTTGTTTTCGGGTTCCTATTTGACTTTTATTTAGTGTTTGGTTGCGGGTTTGGGCTTGAATTTGATTTAAGGTTTAAACTTGAGTTTTGAGTTTGAATTATGGCTTATCGTGTTTGTGTTCAAGCTATGTAATTATATTTTGATTATTGAAAACTGAATGATGATTTTATGATTTAGTATTTTGATTTTGATATCTTCAATTTTCATGTCCATGCTTAATGTTTATATATTGCTTTAAGATGGTTTCTAATGAGATATTAGTGGTGGTGATAAGTTGAAATGTTGGTCGTCATGCGATGGTGGTGGAATCAACTACAAGTGGCGGTTAAACTGTTGGTACCATGGGTAGTGGTCGACTGCACTGATGGGTGGTGGTGTAGTAATAGAAAAGAGTTAATTGCAGGTTTTTAGAGAAAATGAAAAAAAAAAGGTGGAAAAGACAAAATGACCTTTACTTAACCAATGAAATTAATAGTCGTTATTACGAGGGACCCAAACCAAGCATTTTTACGTACCATAAGGTTTTTTAGAAATAAAAGTTTTGTAAGGACCCAATTCAAGAAAAACAGCAAACCACAAGGACTAAAATTGCAGTTTACTTGAAACTAGTTGATAAAATAAAGGACTAAATTACGATTTTATTCCCGATGGTTTGTTTAAAATTATAACTTTTGTCCTTCGTATTTTTAAAATTATGGTTTTTGTCTCGATGATATGCAATTTATTGCTATTTTTGTTATTGAGTCAATTCATTATAAAGGATAAAAATAATAATAAATCGTAAACCATGTAGATTAAAAAAAGCAGCTAATTATAATCTACAATAATGAAAATTATAATCTCAAATGCCCAATAATAAAGATAGGAATTTCCAACAAACCACGGGAACTAAAAACGTACTTCGCTCTAAAATAAAGAGTAAATTACGTTTTTCAAATTTAAAATTGACGATAATATATTTTGGTTAAAATGAATTGTTAGATGTGATTTAGGGGTCGTTTACTAAACGCTTATCTGGGTAAGCGCTTACCAAGTAACATTACCTCACCGGATGAATATGGTAAGAACCAAAAATCTTACCCGGTAGGATCGAGACAAGGACCAAGAGTCTTACCCAGTAAGTGAGGGCGACGACTCTTACCACAATAAGCTTTTACGGGGTAACTTGTTGCATACGATGTCGTTTTTGTAGACTAAAATCTTACCAGGTGAGAAAATAATAGTGTTAATTTACCGGTAAGCACTTATTGGGTAAATGTTTGGTAAACAGCCCCTAGGTGTTTAATTAAACAGCCCCTCATCACGACTTGTCTTAGACCGGACCCTCTTATTAAATACCAACCGCTTTTCAAGTATATAAATATATGTTATATAGTATGTATCGAATCCCAAGTTTAAACTTTAGATAGTGAACTAGAGGTGGATAAATCATTTGAGGTTTTTAAATTAAAGAAAGTATATATTTTAAATGATTTATATAAATATTATTTTTAAATATAAAATAACTTTTCATCATTTAAAAACATTAGCTCATGAAAGTGGTGGCCAAATCGGTCCGGCCTGGAACCAGGACCGGCTAAGGACCAATTATGGTTGGTTATGAGAAATTTGGGGATCGGTTGGGACCGGCCCAATCTGGGACCTATTTTTGACCATCACTAGCTCATGATAAAACCTAACCTACTACATGATATGTATACAAACAATTTATAGAACGGGCTTAATTTTGCTATATCCAATCCAACCCATAGATTAACATGAACATATGTTCGGTTCAAAGCCCAAAACTGACCACCTCCATTTCAAATTATAATATTATTTGGGCAAAATTTATATCTATATATATAATATTAGGGGTATGCAGAAAGTCATCTAATCCAATATCAACCGACCGATCCAACTTGAATCGGCCGACCATCATCGGATATTCAATTGCAATTGGATTGGATCGGATCCGAAATTTCAACATCCAAATCGGATCGATCGGTTATTGGATTGACAGTCCAACATCCAATAAAACCGAAGCGATCCAATACGATGACCATTCAACTAACATCCAATTAATAACTATATATAATCATTAATATTTTATGATTTTGTTTTTTAATTAATATTTTTATACATGGCTTTTTAATAACTTAAGAAAATATACAAATAATTGGTTGAGTATTTGGATCGAAGGATTGGATAAATCAAATACGATCCAATGGATAATCAATAGTAACATCCAATGGATGGAACCGATCCGATCTAATCATCTATTAGATTTGAATCGGATCAGATGTTCAATGTTAATCGGATCTGGATGATAAAATGATTGGACCGGATCAGATCCACCTAAATTCATCGGATCTCAACCGATGAACATCCCTATATAATAAATACTCTGTCATATAGTTTATGAAAGGGGTTGATGTTGGTGAAACAGTTTCATTTCATATTTGACTTGAGGCTGAATAATTAGTTTCWTGATGAAACATTTTTATTTAATTTTATATGTTATTAAGGTTCATGTAATTCATCATTGTTCAAAGGTTTCATATCATGAAGCTGGTGCATAGTGATTTATGAAATAGACATATCATGAAGCTGGTGCATAGTGAAAAGGTTTCATTATGAAATAGTGTAGCAAATATTTTGATGTTGGTGCAACATTTTCATTATGTAATTTATTGGGGATTGATGAACTAGTTTCGTAGTGAACACAGTTGCATTGTATTTAAAATTAATCCGTTTAGTTTGTAGAATGAAATAAAACGGGTGCGTAATGGAATTTGTTCTTTTAGAAAATTGACTCATATGCAATGGAAGTATTTGAAAAAATAATTTCATAATGAACATGCTAAAATAAAATAATGAATATTAATTTCCTAAAATAAAATAATGAATATTAATTTCCTAAAATAAAATAATAAATATTAATTTCCTAAAATACAATGGGAGTATTTGGAAATAGGAAACGAGGGTTTTTGATATGAATACCGATTCTACCCTTTTTTCTTAAATAAAATAAAATGAATATTAATTATTTTTTATTTTTTAATTTCCTAAAATAAAATAATACAATCTAGGGCATTAATCAAGAAAATGGACGGATGAGATTGGTTTACACGGTTTACACAAATGGGTCAAGTTTTCATTTAAACGCTCCTCTATATATATATGTATATATATATTGTGTAAAAAATTATATAATATTCGTTAAGTTTATATTTATATCTCTTTTTAGAAACATTACAAAGTTTTTGCTGAAACGTCTAAAAACATATTATAAATCTACTGGAACACTTCTAGTTAGAATGTTTTATAGTATACTTACATAAACTTACGTTTTATAAACTATTTCATTTGTCAAATTTATGTAACTAATAACCTGTCAACCCAATGTAACCTGCCTCAACATCTAAATATTGGATTGGGTAATACTTTTGAATGAGTCGAGTTGAGTTATAATTTTAACGGAGTTGGGTTAGGTTAGGTTGGGTTGGGTTGAGATTTTTCTAAACCGCCACAACTGAGTTTGGTTGTAAAAATATCGTAAACAAAACCCACGTACACCCCTAATTACGCAACCATGAACGACCCCACACGAAACCCGTCTCTAAACACATCAATGTGATGAGACATTTTTAAGCTCACTCAGTGACTAAAACTAGTAGAGAGCCCTGTTATATATCAAACCCTGAACCTATCTCATATTTAAGCAAAGTCATTCCACTATTTAACCAACTAAGCTAAACGTCAATTATGCTAATATTATTCAATAATACTTAACATAAATCATTAATAAGGGGTTATTTGTTTACATCTTAATAGTTTTATTAAGAGACAACCTCTGAACTGTTAAGAAGTGAATCTTGTTTGCCAAAATAAAATATATCTCTTAATGGTTCTAAAACTCTCTAAATGATTTTATATCATGGATCTCCCTTAACCATTAAGAGCTATAATTTCATTGTATACAATTACCAAATAATTATATTTTATTTTGCCTTATATCATGAAAGTCTTTTAATCATTATGACTACTTAATCATTATACATCAAACCATTTAACAATTATCAAAAACATCTTTTAAGTAGTTTAATTAAAATCAAATGAAAATAACCACCTTAACTTAGATTATAAAATATCAACAAAACAACCAATATTATTTCGCATCAATGATCAAAGCAACCAAACATTAAATAAGCATTTATTTCCAATTGCCAAAAAGTCATACCTCATCTTAGACCAAATTTTAATATTTTTCTTCTAGTGGCACACTTATATTATTTTTCCATGCAAATCAACCCCTCTGAGCTCCAACTATGAATACATACAAATATAAGCACTATATCATATACTCTCTTCCACCTTTCACCATGTATGGATTCCCAATCATCTACACAGCCATTCTCCTCCTCCTATCTCCGCCCAACGCCGCCCTCCAAGAGCTACTGAGAGGATTCACCGCCACCCCAGATTCATCACTACCAGTATCATCATTCCAACCTCTACTCACTGATTCCATTGGTAACTACTCACTGGCTTTCCTCCGAGTTGATCGAACTCACCTTGCTCTCGCCGTCATCCACGTCTCGTCACAGGTGCCACTTTGGATCGCTGGAAAAAGTCCTTTGGCTCCATGGTCGTCCCAGACTCGTCTCTCGTTCAATGGCAGTCTTGTCATTTCACACTCGCATACAGGGGTATTCTGGTCAACTTACACAGACGGCCACCGTGTACGCCTCTCCAACACCTCCAATTTATTGATCGAGAGCGAAGGGGAGTCTCCGGTTGTCGTGTGGCAAAGTTTTGACTTTCCCTATAATACCCTTGTGGAGAATCAAAATTTCACTAGTGCCATGAAACTGGTTTCTTCAAATGGGATGTATTCCATGAAGCTGGGATCCGATTTCATCGGGTTCTACGCCAGATTTGCAACTAATTCGGGTCCGGACTCGGATCCCGGTCGTCTTTACTTCCAGCATAATCCCATGGAAACCAAAGCTCACATCACGAAAGGCGAAGGACCCATCCACGCTACGCTGAGCCCAAACGGCTTCCTCGGCTTGTACCAAAACAGCTCGAATCAGGTCGACTTGCAGCCTTTCAGCAGCTTCCAACAACCCGGAACTGGTAACCGAATAATCCGACTTGAACCCGATGGAAACCTGATCGGCTACTACTGGACCGGATCCTCATGGGTCGTGGATTTCAAGCAAATAGCTAACCCTTGTGATCTACCCAGCTCATGTGGAGCTTATGGTCTATGCCGGCCGGGAAACAGCTGTTCTTGCTTAGATAACCGGAGATCATACAGTTCCGGCGACCAGTGTGAGACCTCCGGCGACGATTTCTGCCGGAAAAGATATCGGGTTTTGAGAAGAAGTGGTGTGGAGCTAGCAAACAAGGAGATAATGGCGTACACGATGATGAGTTCTTTAGAAAAATGTGAGCGTGCATGTGAGGAGAAGTGCACATGCTGGGGTGCGGTGTACAGTAACACATCTGGATTCTGCTACGCGATAGATTATCCCGTACAAACATTAGTCGAGGTTATGGATGAGACCAAGATGGGTTATTTTAAGGTGAGGGAGGGTGCAGGGAAAGATAAGATGGGGGTCGGGTTATGGGTCGGGTTGGGATCATTGTGTGGGGTAGTTTTGTTAATTTCGGGAGTTGGAGGGGTGGTTTTATACAGAAAAGAAAGTAGAGGGGTGAAAGGGTATGAAGAGGAGGAAGGGATAAATGGTGGTGTGGGTCCCTACAAAAATCTGCGGTCGGCAAGTTCCAAGTCTATAGAGTTAAGTGAGAGGTGACCTAAGCAGTGACGTATTTGGTTTGGGATAGATGAAGTTTCACTTTAACCAAGGTTTGACTCTTTGTTTGTTGGTTCGTGGGTGAACATCCGTGAAAAAGACTAAATGGATCTTATGGGACCAATCGCGTTGGTCACGTGGACAATATTAATTTGGCCGTTTAATATTCCCACTTGTTTGATCAAAATGGATTAACCGTAAATATTTATGATTTGATAGGTGTTTATCGGGTTAGAGTTATCACCTTTACTTATTGGAGAAGACTTTCGATTCTTGTCTTTCTTCTTACCGAGTAAGACTCCAGATACCTGTTATGTTCACATGTAAGGGAAAATAGCAGGTAAGCATTGACCAAGGAAAATGTTTATTAAACGGCCCTGTAGTAAAATTATATTTGTTTGATACAAAGTATTCTGAAATATAAAATTTTTAATTCCTTTTAAACCTGTGTACGTTTTTGTCTTTTAGTGCATATGATTGGTTTTCACAATCCGTAGTTTTAAAACAGCGACTCTATGTAGGTACAAAAGTACATTATCAGAATCAACTTTATGTTTGTTCTTCTTCAATATTGTAATTTAAGGAATTTCGACTTGTCACAACTATTGATGCATATCTCCATGCAATTCGATAAACACGTATATTAACTAATTTTCAACACACCTGGATGGGTTTAGCAGAACAAAAGGCAATACAAAAAAAATGCAAAAATACAGAAATATTAATCTTAGTAAAAAGTAAAACAATATTATAAATAGTAATATAGATCGCTTGTAAATTGTAATTTTGATTCAACCAAATATGTTCGACCAAGTCGGAGCGGAGTTAACGATGAATTTCATTTGAGAAAATCTTAGAATTTTGTTGAAAATGTTCTTGGAATTAATGAGTAGAATATTGAAATATATGTGTTGAATTATCTACCTGTTTATTAATCCAATGGATCAACATGTCAGTGTCACCTTTAACAATCATATTATGCAAAATTATGCATGTATACATAATATCCCTTTAAATCCTTATATAATACTGATGGGCCTTTGATTATTGACTAACGAGATTGAAGCACGCCAAATCAAGCTCAACATCTTTTCTTGCACCTTTTTGTCGTTGTTTGAACATGCGAAGAATAATATAACAAGATAAATTAAAATTAAACGTGTGAAAATTAAACTAATTAATACATAAGATAAAATGGTTAAGAAGTAATAAATAAAATAATAACAGAAAATAAATATATGTAATAACTTGGGTTCTTGTCCAACCGTCTGGGTTCTAATAAGAACTACGACTGGACAAAAACCCTCGTCCCACGGTGGAGATTTTTATAAAAACCTCAAGAAGAACCTCATCAGGAACCTCCATTGTGGATGTTGTAAGCAGATCCTGACCATTTTGAACTATGGTCTTTGATGCCTTTTGCAACATATGTAGTGTCGTATTCTTTCATATTTTGATGACCAAACAAAATGTACGAGCGGATCCAAGATTTTTGGTGATGGATTGTTAATATAGTTCTGTTTATTTCATATGGATCGTATGGAAGATCATTCAAATCAACTTTTCTGAACATTGAAGATGTAAAGCCGAGGTTGGTGAATATTTCAAGAACCAGTACCTCTACGATCCGGTTCCAAATGTTGGTGATTTTATTTTAAAAAGTCTTTCAATTTTCCTTGCGAAATAGAACAACAAATAAGAATTGATGAAAAATTAACGATTAAGCATTAAGTAAGGTATTGAAGTGAGATTTATAGGGGTTGTTTGTTTACCTTTTAATAGTTACATTAAGAGTAATCATCTGAATCATTAAGAAATGAATATTGTTTGGAAAAAAAGTTGTTGTCTCTTAATGGTTCTAAAAATCTTTTGAATGATTTTGTATTGGGTCTTTCTTATCCATTCAACATTCTAATTCTATTGTAAACAATTATAAAATAATTATATTTTATTTTGCACTATAACAAACAGTCTCTTAATGATTCTATACCAAATTATTCAGTAATTATCAAACAACTATTAAAAAAATGTAAGATAAAACCATTTTATAGGGTCAAACAAGATATTTGAAATAAAATATAACATAATATAAAAAAATGAAAATTTATGAGGGGGGTTTGACTCCATCCCAAAGTACACAACCGCCCAACTACCAATCAACCAATTTTTATATTGACTTTTGAAGTATAATAAATATGTGATTGGTCACCATAAATTGATATATATATATATATATATATATATTTTATATTGACTTTTGAAGTATAATAAATATGTGATTGGTCACCATAAATATATATATAGGTGGAGGTTCAAACAAAAACACATTCATTTGATGAGAACGCGAAAACACTCTTATCACATGTGATAATACGCGTGAGGGGACCTGGTGGTATGCGGAAGAAGTGTTATACGACTTAGGTCACGCCAAATGTTGTATGCGTCTATGATTTAGCATCAAATGTGATGGTCTTGATGAATTATAATATTATATCAATAACACTCTTATCACATGTGAGGGACTTAGTGGTGTAAGGCGACTTGGCCCGCAACCAAGATCGTGCCGAAAATCTCCCACGTCTCTGATTTAGTATTACATTTGTATCATATGTGATTTGACCTCACAGTTACCACAAACTAATTATTTCTCATATGATTAGGCCCATAATTTAGCCTTTCATATGGTCAAAATCAAATTTAATAATTGTGACTTTGATTGAACAATAATTATGACTTTGACTGATTAATAATTACAGCTTTGATTGGTAAAAAATTACGGCTATATGAAAAATAAAGAGGATGGTTTCGTAACTTTTACATATTAGGGACAAACGGGTTCATATACGAACCTATATGATTCTCATATGAACTAGTGTAATTCATATATCAATTATTTTAACTGATTCACATGTGAACTAATTGACTGATTCACATATGAATTAGTGTGATCTCCATACAAATTAATTAACCGATTCATATATGAACCTGTGCGTTTATATATGAATCACTTAAATAGTTCACATATGAATTGATTAACGAGTTCACATATGAAAATATAGTTCATATGTGTAACATATGAGTTCACATGTGAATTTGTTTGCTATCTATTTGTAAAAGTTATGAAACTACTTATTTATCTTCCGCATACCAATGCGGTAAATTATCCGGTGCTTTACGGTCAAACCTGCAAATATTGATCAGATGAAGTGCTAAGATCACTTATCTACTTCTCAAATGAACCTTTCCTTATATATGTACTAAGGCCTGGTTAAGGGTATTTGTAACCGGTCTCGTGTCGGGACCAAACCGATCGTATATTAATTTTTTAATTAAATGTGTGTGTATACACCCCCCCCCCCCCCGATTAAGAGTACTTGTAACCGGTCCCAGGCGGGGCCCAACCCGGTCCTATATTAAAAAAAAATACATTTTTTATATTTTTATTAAAAATATATTTCAATGTTATTATAATACACTTTAAAATATCTAATTAGATCAATGAAATACACTTAAAAAATACGTTTTATTGTAGTTTTTATAAAAGGTTTTTCACTCGAATACACTTAAAAATTACGTTTTATTATAGTTTTATAATTGATTTTCAATCAAATACACATAAAAACTACGTTTTATTATAGTTTTATAATTGATTTTCAATCAAAGACACTTAAAAATTATGTTTTCTTGTAAATTTTTAATTTGATTTTCAATCAAATACACTTAGAAAGCTATAAATACATTGTTTTTAAAAATCGGGTCGGTCCGGATTGGGCCTATAACCGTTATGGGTAGCGTCTATTGGGTTGGAGATCCTGATGGGCCATATGGATTCCTGGGCCGAAGTTTGTGTTAGTATTTTCTGGGCTATTTGGGTTGTTAACAGATTAGGCCCAAGATTTTATTCGGATTCAATTAATTATTAATGGGGTGAATTAATTTGGGGGATTATAATTCATTAATTAAATTGGTTTCTTTTTTAATTAAATATAATTAATAATCTAGAGATTAATTATTTAGAAGCGGTATTTTTAATTAATGATCAAGTGATCGGCATGATTAAATATTTTTCATAATAAAATATAAAATAAAATATAATTATTTACAATAAAATTAAGACGTTAAATGTTTAAAAAGTCCATGATACAAAATCATTCCGATAATTTTAGAAAATTTGATTTTTTTTTACAAACAATAAAAATAGGAAAAAAATAGCAGGCTGCTGTCGTTTTACAGTTTGATTTCTCCGCTCGATTCTCTAGATCATTTCCCGTCGATCTGCTCTCCTCAGAGAATCCATGGCGGACCCCAACCTCTCATTTCTTGCTCTCGCCATTCTCCTCCCAATCTTCTTTCTTCTCTTCCTTAAACTCATCGTCCGTCCTCGCCCCATCAGAATTCCAATCAAATCTCGACATGTCTTCATCACTGGCGGATCCAGCGGCATCGGCCTAGCTCTAGCTCGCCAAGCCGCAGCTGAAGGTGCCCGCGTTACTATCTTAGCTCGTAATCTCGAGAAGCTTGAGGAAGCCAAGGCCTCTATCCGCCTCTCCACCGGCATAGATGTTGCTATTATTAGCGCTGATGTATGCGACTTTGAAGCCGTCAAGGAAGCAGTGGCGACTGCTGGTCCGATCGATGTTTTGGTTTGTAATCAAGGCGTGTTTGTAGCTCAAGAGCTTGAGAATCAGGAGATGAAGGAGATTAAGGGCATGATTGATGTAAATTTGATTGGGAGTTTTAATCTGGTTAAGGCGGCATTGCCCGGAATGAAGAACCGGACTGATCGGAAGCCAGTTTCGATCGCATTTATGTCGTCTCAGGCCGGTCAGGTACTGTGTTTGTGTGTTCTTCTAGCATTATTACTTTCAGGCCGATTATCTTGTAGTACAAGGGTTTCTGAATTGAAGTTGTGATTTTCAACGAGTAGAGGGTTTGGTGATTCAAGTAGTTCTTACAATTTGTTGCCATTAGAACTTTGGTCCAATGCTATCTATCAATTTGCAAAGTGTGCAAAAGTTTCCCCTAATTGAGCTTAGTTTGACTAAAAATAAGAAAAGATAGAACACAGTGACTTCAAAATTGCAATTTTTAAGTGGTACAGGTTAATGACAGTACCTTTGTTCATATAACAGTAACTGTTTTAGACTGGTATAAAAGCAAATTGGTGAAGACTGGTGTGTGTTGTATTTTGCACATGGAGAGGTGTGATAAACAATGTTCCATGTGTGTAACAAATACACCAATAATCAGTCCAGGACACCATCAAGAGAATGTGTTTGCAAGAACATGTAAACAAGAAACAAAAACTTCAGAGGAATGGCACCAGACTCCATCCCAGAATCATGAAGTGATTTTACTAAAACTCTAAACTACTATCCTCAATAGCTTCTTGCATATCTTACCTAAATCTATGTTGCAAATTTTTCATACAAAATGTTCAAGCTTAGTTTTATTTCTGTAAATGTGGCACCAGTTACACTCTTTATTTTAACATCATACACAATGTTGAGGTAAAAGAAATTGAGATCAATTAAGTAATTGATTGTCCTTTGTTTGAAAGTAAGGAATTTAACATGGTATGCAATGTTCATGTATGAAAGCAGAGATAAGTTTTAATAGGTCCAAGATGGAAGCATTGAGGCATTAACATATCACGGAGACAAAGAAAGATACCATACAAGCTTCACTACTATAGAACCTCATTCTTTTAGCCTGCTCTGCTTTTGGAATGTTTGCATCCGTCTCTTATTACCAAATGCATTGGCAGGCCGTTCTTCAACAATCTCAAACCTAAAATAGAAAATAGAAATTGAGATCTTTGAAATTTCATTTCAAGTGTTCAAAACTAATAAAGATAAATATTGCATAATGCTAGAGCACTAGCAAATCATGTATTTTACTCTATCTTGGGGTTAGCAAGTAGATATTTTTTTGTGGTATTTTGGTCCAAGTAGTCCAAAATGAACCTGGCAAACTTTAGGGGTTTTTGCCATTGACCCCAAGGAGTTGATGAGCTATTGGAATATCGAATATGACAACCAGCTCTCAAGCATTATTGGCTTTCCAACATGCCTGTACTTAGATGACTTGGATTTGAACCAAGACATCATTGTTCACATTAAAAACTATATCTCATAAACATCACCTTCTCTCTCTTGTTTCCTCTTTTCTTAGCTGTTGTGTAACCATAAACTATAGTTTTCCACCCTACTGTATTAGAATTGTTCTTCTGTGTAAGTTGTTACGACTTCTACTGTATTATGGTTGTTCTTTTAGCTTTTTGTTTTGCGTTACTTCTGGATTATCTTGCATCTTTATGTTCGTGGTTTGTGTATCTGTTATTCTATTTCACCTCTTCTGATAAATTGACTCAAGAAGCCTGGATAATTGTTCGATTCAATGCTTTTTTTTTTGTGTGTGGTTATTGAGTACTAATTTTTCTCTTTTGGTTTTTAATGCTTTGAAAGATTATTATGATTCTTGATGCACTTTTTCAATTTTAGGTGGGCATTTATGGTTATACAGCATATTCAGCTAGTAAGTTTGGTCTAAGGGGATTGGCAGAAGCGCTGCAACAAGAAGTTGTTGCTGACAACATTCATGTTTCGCTTATCTTTCCCCCAGACACGGATACACCTGGTCTTGTGGAAGGTTCAACCTCTCTCTCTCTCTCTCTCTCGGCATTTAATTGCAATCTTTGAGTTGTGGACTGTGGAGCCTTCAAACCCCCTCGTTTACAAAAAATTCCGAGGTAAGTTTAGTCCATGAGCCCATCAGCCATGCAACTCATCCTACCAGATGCAGGCACCTTTAAGGGTCATTTCAGCAACGTCTACCTCTTGCTTTTAGTATATTTTACAGTTCTATACTTCTATTACTGATTTACTGTCATATACAAAGCTTGTCCGATTTTCAGTACGGATAGTAACATTGATGTCAAAAGTCAGTGGCGGACCCAGTTCTGAGCGGATGCACCTTTAAGGTCAATCAGAGGCCAACAAAGTTACGGTTTAACCCAGGAAAAAGTCAACACGATTTGACTCGAGGAAAACTCGATTGTGTCAATTTAATACAATACATTTTTACAAATGAAACCAACCTTGATTTTTTGAGCAAGACGCAACACCAAGTCTTACACTCGGTGTGTTCTCGGCCGAATTCCACCTTTACGAGGGATTTTTTTTGGTTGATTTCGTAATGGTTGACAAAATGCAACAACAAAATATAATTTTATAAATTTCTTACATAAATATGTTCGATGACATCATGGACAGAGGAATAATAACCGATTTTTAAGTATTATAAAAAAGATTAAGAATAAAAAATCATTCAAAGTATGAATTGTTAACTATAACCAATTTAATCTTTTTTTCAAGTTATTTTGGATAAACATGTATTGCCATTAGAACGCTACAAAAAACAAATTTAAGATTAATGAGTAAATAGGAAGAAAAATACTAAAAAAGAAAGAGATAAAAGTAAGATTGAGACAATTATAAATGAAAAATAGTTGTAGTTGATTGGTAAGACTTTGTTATTTTATAGTTGAGTTCTTGAGTTCAATTCTTTTGTTGTATATTTGTTTGCCTTTCTTTTTAAATATAAAAAACTATAAATTGTTATCAAAAAATATTTGAACCCATGACCTTAAGGCAAGTAGTGTCCCAACCATTCCAGCAACCTCATTCTCCTAGTTCAGGTGTCCTGTTTTAAAAACATATAAGAGCACACTTCATAATTAAGCGGGTGAACAATTACGACTGGTAAAAATTTCCATTACGACGGGACGATCGAGCGGGTTCCCGTGCACCCCCCTACTCTATGAGTAGGTCCGCTTCTGTCAAACGTGGCAAATGCTTTCAATCCTTTGTCATTTTAAAAAATGACAACTATAAAAAGCCATGAAGCATTTAGCTTGGTTGTACTTGGCTCATTCCGTATGTGACAACATCTTGGAGGTCATGGCTTCAAATCCCTCCATGCCTTCTCTAAAGAAAATGGTTTGTTATAAAATCTGCCACTTTTGTTTGCAGTTTGCCGAATGCCCCTCCCTCATTGTTATTAGGTCTCTTTGATTATCTTTATCTTGTGTTGCTGCTTTTGCTTTAGTTATGTTTTTTCTTGGCGAAAAGGAGTAATCAAGATCATGCTCATCCACTGACATGTCAGAACTTTGGGATTCTTTTTGGTCAAAAACTCGTGCTTTCGCTTTGCTGTCATCCATGTTTCTCTGCCCTGTAGTCTCTCCTTGATCTCTCTTCTTGTCTATCCTGTTCCTCCTATCTCTTCCACAAATGAGAAAAGGATATTGGAAGTGGTATCTGAACATATAGCCTGTGAGGCTATGCTAGGAAGCCCAGTCTTGTTTGTATCTTGAAGTAGCTCTATTGAATTTATGTCTTTAGTTTTGCGATCCTAGTATTTTCAGCTCAAAAAGTGTGATGATATCTATCCTGGAGAAATGATGTTTTATGGCGGTGTCCTACTTAGGGATCCCGTTGGCTTTGATATTTCACAGAGAACTCAATTAACTTCTAGTGGAATATAAAGTTTATATATGATAATTTGGTAGTCGGAGATGTATATTAGACTAGAATATGTTCCTAAGATGATTCTAGACAGTTTTTACATTTTGCAGAGAACTCAAATAACTTTTAGTGGAATCTAAAGTATCTGTAATAAGAATTTGGTCTTTTTCCTTCATTTCTGGTTATTGCAGAGAACAAGAGAAAGCCACGATTGACAAGCATCATAGCAGCATCCTCTGGTGCAATGCAAGCTGATGAGGTTGCAAAGAAAGCATTGGATGGCATCAAATCCGGGTGTTTTATGGTCCCCTGCAATTTGGAAGGATTCTTATTGTCCATAGCTACTGCTGGTCTCTCTCCTCAGAGATCATACCTCATGGCATTTGTTGAGGTCATTTCAGCTGGTCTATTACGTATTGCAGGATTGTGTTTTCAGTGGACCTGGTACGGAAGCATTGAAAAGTGGCATGCACAACAGAAATAGTAAGTATTTGATTTAGTACTTAGTAGATGTTATTAAAATGCACGAGTTCATATAAGAAGGGTTATATGATAAAATCTATTTCTCAATATATATATATATATATATATATATATATATAGAGAGAGAGAGAGAGAGGAGGAGGAGGTTCAGGGGAAAACCCCCAAAAAAATGACAAACTAAGGAACACCCTAGTAACCATTCATCCGGACGGCATACACATGTTCATTTTAGTAATTGAAGTTTTTTGGTTTTTATGCACGTGTGCATGTTATACACATGTGCATACCGGACGGACAAATTGCTTACAAATTACTCGTATGCACAAGTGCATATCGTCTAGATAAACAGTTACTTGAACCTATATATATGTTACATATATATACTCTAGGTCCTTTGGTTAAATGACCTTCTGACAGATTTGAGAATGCCACTTAACTAAAAAATGCCACTTTCTTACACAAGAACATCTAGAAACCTGTCAGGTCATGGATTTTAAAGAACACATCTCAGTTAAATAACCCCTTCTTTACTCCCCTGTGTGGGTCCGTTTAATCTTGGGACCTGATAAACAGTTCGGGTGGCAATGTGTTGGATAAACCGATGATAACAGAAAGCTATAAAACTTGCATTACGGTAGTTTAAAATAATTATATGGGTTCTAGAACTAGAAGTTGCTTCGAGAATTTGGAAAGTCCAATTTTTGTTGTTTTTAATTTCTGGACCGAGTAATCTTGTTTCTTTTTGAAGTATATAATATTTATATACAGCAGATACAACAAATAAACTTCCAAACCCTCCTCACCTTTGGTGAAGTTTGTATCCCTGACCTTCTACGAGGCCAAAGACCCAAATACCACTAGACTAAAAGACCCTTGACAAGACTGAGTAATCTTGTTACTGGCATGGTTCACATTAATTGCTTGATTATGAACTCAAGTAATGAGTTGGAAGTTCCAGTTTCAACAACTATTAATTTGAACTAACATTTTATTGGTTTTTAGGAATTTGGATGCATATTGCGGCAATGAACACGGATCCTATCTCCTGGACTGAATTTGACACGATAACATATGATGCCGGATTTTCAGCATCTGTAAGCACCAATCATCATATTCTTGCCTATTTGCTCCATATTTGTCAAGAATCTGAAGCTTTCCTAACGTGTTCTTGATGGGTCCAACCATTTCCATCGCTAAATTTAGTGACAAATTTGCTACTTGAGGCTCAATCATTTTCGGCAATTTACGTTTCAAACTTCTCTTGTTATGCATAATTAGTCTTTTATTAGCTTTAAAGCCATCAGACAACTTATCAATTAACAACCAGCTTATCAGTACGACCGTCTCTAGAGATGGATCTTGAACTGGATCCAAGTTTTTAGTCGGACGGAGGGATGGCTGGAACTTGGAAGTACTCATAGATGGCGGCGACAAAGTCAAGAAGCAAAAAATAGTGTAGTACATATAAGAGGTATATAGAATGCATAAAAGTTCAAATAAGAAAGACAAACGTATTGATAACGTACTGGTAAATGTTTTATATATGTAAGTTCACATGTAAAAATCATATATGAATAATTGGTAAAAAAGTAGGTAAATTAAACGTGATTTTTTTTTCGATTTATTTGATTCACATATGAATAGTATAAACCATTTCTCATATTGAATAAAATTTTCTTCAACCAATTAATTGCTTTCAATATGACAAGTTATACGTTAAATGATTGGTCGAAATAATTTAATTAATTAAATAGGGTTCTAATTTTGACATATAGACTGCCTCTTTTATAATGCAACCCTTTTTTGACCTATGACATATAGACCGCCTCTTTGAACTTCAACGAAGGGTTCACGGATTTGTCAAAATTCTTTAAAATAGACAATTAAGGGATTGTTTACTCAATTTTTTTATCAAGTCTTGTATGAATAAATTTATCTATTTAGATAAATGGGTGTTGTTGTTTATTTTTTTATCTGAATCAACCGTCTGAATAACATAAATGATCGATTTACCCTCCAATATTAATTATTTGAACATCAAAACAAAAAACCATAAAGAGGTTGACGATGGTGTCTCTCGTTTGGGAAGGAGGTGATGCTTTAAATAAGGGGTAAGAGTGTCATTTTTGTGGCTGAATGGGGAACAACACACCATTTCTATTTGTGCGATTAAGCCATGTTCTGTGCGAATAAGCCGTAAGTAAACAACTCAAATGAGCTATGTGAATAAGCCAGATAGACCAATAAACCTAATTAAGCCGTAAGTAAACAACCCCTTAATAATTTACATAGAGAATCCAATATTAATTATAATATTAAAATATTTCATTCGTCTATTAATATATTATTTTTCTATCTAAATATTTATTTTTAAAGTTTTTTCTATTAGTGGTCTCACTTGATAATTATTTTTGAAGTTATCTTTATATTTGGAGAAAAAACTTTTCTTTTCTATTTTTTCCATTTAAATATAGTTTTGAGAAAGCTATTAAAGCAAAATATTGACTCAAAATTCTGATTTTTTTTATTTTATCTATTTAGAGAAGTTGTTGGAGATGCTTTTAGCATTCCCAAACAATTATATTATTTAAATTTATAAATTTAAGAAAAATTTGCTGAATAGAGATGATGAACAAATCTTTAAATATAGAAGAAGAGGGTTGAATAATATACCTGTTATAAATGCTCTAAATAAAGGTTTATGTGAACAAGTCTTTGACACCAACGATTTTTCATTAATGAAATTAAAAATATTAATGTCATGATGAAAATAAATAGATGAAAAAAGATAACGAGTCTTATAGTATGTTATTTTACGTATGTATTTGGCTTTTGGTTACTGTAATCAAACAAATCCATTGTGTGAGATTTTAACGGGTAAGTGTTTATCGATAAAATTTAGCACTGCTATTTACTTGCCAGGTATTTTAGTATGCTAATACGATATTGTATGTAACAATTTATCCGGTAAGCGCTAACTGTGGTAAGAATCCTCGCCATCATTTACTTGGTAAGACTCTCTGTCCATGCCTTCGCTCTTACCAGGTAAAATTTTTGTTCCTTACCATATTCATTCGACAAAGTAATGTAACTTGGTAAACGCTTACTCACACAAACATTTGGTAAATAGCCCCCAAGAAAACTATATGAATCCATGTTGCTCTTCCAGTGAACAAAACACCACCTCCTCCTACAATATCGACGATCATGAGATCGTGTTAGCAATTGACATATCGAATGTGTGCGGTTTTCCTTTCTCCATTAGATCCCTTTGAAATTTTTCATACATCCAAATCAAAACTCAGTTTTTTGCTAATATCATAGAAACATAAATAAAAGTATTGTAATATTAATTGGTATAAGTTTAACATTTAAAGTCAAAGTATGACGGCTAATAATTATCTGAAAATTAAGTAACATTTTAATTCAAATACAAAATTGTCATCATATATCATTAGGGTTGGGTTCCGGTTATGACAAGAAGCGTAATAAGAGATATTTATTTTTGGATCAATCATAATTGAATGTTAATACTAATGAGGTATCGGATGTACCAGATCAATTCTCTTATAAAGACAATTCATGAGTGGACATGAGATTAAAAATGATCAAAACTTTATATCGTTTCTTATGCTTCTCATCATAACTTATCTTCTAGCACGATCCTTCACCTATATCATTATTACAAAACTAAACCAAACAAGTTTAGTACTATATCTCATTCAAAAGCAGTGTTTGAAGAAATTAAAAAAAAATAAAAAAAAAAAAAAAATATATATATATATATATATATATATATAAACATTATCATCTGAGCACCTCTAACAGTTTCTTTAAAGGAAAATTAATTAAAATAGTCATTTTTCATGATGCGTTTCACCTCTTAGTCATTTATATCTTAAAAATAACGAAAATAACCATTGGTTCGTAATTGACAGGTCCACAACTTGCGGATGCATCAAAATGTAAAATATGTCAGTGTTTTTGCAAATTTACATATGGTCTATGGAATTGCGAATTTGGTTCAAATTTTTTTTTCTTACATTTTGATCCCTCCATAAATTGTGTACCTGTCAATTACAAATCTACAATTATTTTCATTATTTTGAAAGAAAAATGACTAAGAAGTAAAAACATACGGTCAAAATGACTGTTTTAATTTATTTCTTTTCTTAAAAAATAAATAAATAAAAATTTTGAAATTTATTTTGTTCCGACAAATTTCTAAAATGTTTTATAAAATAAAGAAAATAAGAAAAAATATAAAATCTTCCAAATATAGAAAATTATTAAAAAATTAATTAGAATAACGAAATATATTTTTAATTATTTACCTTTTTTTTCTCCTCACTCTCAAGTTTCCTTACAAATTTGTTTTAAATATTACATATTTTAATAATATAATTAATATTAAAATTTTTAAAATATAAAATTATTCAAATAAAATCCTATATTTTTCGAAAATTTAAACTCTCAAGGGTTTATAATCGTACCGTGTACATTTTCTAACAAGAAAATAATTAGAAAAAGCTTTGTTTTTTCAGTCATTTGTTTTAAAAATATTACAAATTTTATAAAATACAAAAAGTCAAGATTTTGAAGATTCTTTTTGTTTCCAACAGATTTTTTAAAATATTCTATAAAATCAAGAAATAACAGATAAAAAAGTAAAATTTTAAAATTTTCCTTATTTGTTACAATATTAAATAATTATATGATATAATTAATATTTATATATTTAAATATAAAAGTATTAAAGTTGAATTTATTTTTTTCCTAAGATTTTAATTTTTAATTTATATATTTTAAAGAAATCTTTGAGATTCAATGGAATATGCTGTAAATCCTGTTTAAAAAAGACGCTTTACTTACCAAAAAGTTTTACGGTAAGAAAAGAAAAACCGCAACACCACCTACTTTTGAAAGATAAAACATAAGGGCAAAATGGTCAAAGGTCAGGAAAACACACCACCAACTTTTGAGAAAGAGCGGATTACAATAGTGGTCCCTATAGTTTTCTCAATATTTAGATTTGATCCCTAAAACAAAACCATCTTCTCCTTAACTTTTCAATTTTATGACACTCAAGGTCCTTGGAGTTAATATCGTCAATTAGTAACCGTTACGAAGAACAAATTAGTTTTTTTTTTATCATACTATAGGGATCAAAAATGTAATTCACTCTAAAATTAATTATGATTTATCTAAGAACTGATTTGTCTTTTTCTAACAGTTGCTAATTAACGGTGTTAACTTTAGAAACGTCGAGTGTGATGAAATTGAAAAATTAAGGACCGTCAATATAGACTGTTTGTTTTAGGGGCTAAATCCAAAATTTAAGCAAATCACAGGGACCACTAATGTAATTCACTTTTTGAAAGAAAAAAACCAGAAGGGCAAAAGGGTCAAAGGCCATGAAAACCGCCTCAAGACGAGATGCCAGATTCGGGGCGATGATACCGATGGCTATCTCTCTTCTTTATATGTAAACCCTCACTCCTTTTCTTTGACTCTATTCCATTTCACCATTTCTTCACAGTTTTCTCTCGAATCGTCTTTTTTAGATCTAAATCTCATCGACATGTCTTGCTACAAAGGAAAGTATGCTGGTATGATCTTCATCTTCATCTCTCTCTCTAGTTGATTCGGTTTTAGATTCTGTATTATATCTTTTTGCCGTTGAATTTTTGTTCAGATCTACTGTTTGATCCGGTTTCTTTTATGTTTGTAGTTTGAATAGGCTATTTGTTTGTTAATTTTTGGATCTGATTTGTGTTTTCAACTTGTTAATTTATTTTTAGATGCAAATAGGTTATTAGTACTATTTGCTACCAACTTCTTATCTGATTCTGCTAATCGCTTGGTTGAATGATTTCCTATGACTATTATACATGAGATGTTTTGTAATTTTCAGGAAGTGGCGATTTGGTTTGAACTTGGTGGATCTGTTTGTATCTCCTTGAAAACTATCGATTTACTCTTTGAAAGCATTTCTTGTTGATCTGTTATTGTTCTTCAGTTGATTTTTTTTTTCTTGTGATGAAATAATCTGTAGAGCCAACTGTTTCGAACCAGATTCGTATGGTTGCACATCCCGTCATGTCACATACTTTTCAAGGCTAAACTAATGTTTCAGAATTGTGGTTTACCTGCTCATCGTGCGGGCACACCACTAGTGTTAGTCATATGCATAAAATGATTTTTAATTGAGATTTTTTTTCCATTCATCTTGTTTGACTTTTAACCTAGATCTTTGGCTGAATGAATTTACTTGGTAAGGTGATCTGTGGTTGATGCTTACGTTGCTTTTCATAAGCAGATTTGTGTCCTCGTTCATAAAACGTGCTTATTATAGATATACCGTAGAACTTGTCTTAAACTTATGATGTTTTTTTTCTCTTGAGACTGGTGTTCATCCTGATGATACTGTATTGTTTTATGTAATTTTTTTTGAACTGTGCTCTTGGCTGATATACATCAAAAGATCTGCTGATATCACAGCCTTGATGATTTTGTACATCTCAAACTTGAAATTTTACCTAATTTTTTAATCGTTAATCATTTTGATAGCAACAACTAAGATTTGTTGATGATATTTTAATACATCCTTTTCTTTCCATTAGTAGTTGTAAGAAAATGTAATAAATCCTTTTCTTTCTATCAGATGAGCTTATTGCCAACGCTGCTTATATTGGTACCCCTGGCAAGGGTATTCTCGCTGCTGATGAGTCAACCGGCACAATTGGGAAACGTCTATCCAGCATCAATGTTGAGAATGTTGAGTCAAACAGGAGAGCACTTCGTGAGCTTCTTTTCTGCACTCCTGGTGCTCTCCAGTACCTCAGCGGAGTTATTCTTTTCGAGGAAACTCTTTACCAGAAGACTGCTGCAGGTATCATATTATATAAAATTTATGTGGCATAAAATTCTCCAAGTAATCTTTCGATCTTCATAAAGTTCCTTTATTCAATATAAGCTGCTGTTCGCTTTTTATGGAGCCTAGATGTGTTTCATTTCTTCATATTTTCTATTGGTTTAAAGAAGGTTTGTTTTGGTATGTTCATCTTTAGTTGTTCCTATTGTCCTCTGATTTTTCCTATTCAAAAAATTGTTGCAGGCAAGCCATTTGTTGATGTCATGAAGGAAGCTGGAGTCCTCCCTGGTATTAAGGTTGACAAGGGTACCGTTGAACTTGCTGGAACCAATGGGGAGACCACAACCCAAGGTCTTGACGGTCTTGCCCAGCGATGTGCCCAGTACTATACAGCTGGTGCTAGATTTGCCAAGTGGCGTGCAGTCCTAAAGATTGGTGACAATGAGCCATCCCAGCTTGCCATCAACGAGAATGCCAATGGCTTGGCCCGATATGCCATCATCTGTCAGGAGAACGGTCTGGTCCCCATCGTTGAGCCAGAGATTCTTGTAGATGGATCCCATGACATTAACAAGTGCGCAGATGTGACCGAGCGCGTTCTCGCTGCCTGCTACAAAGCTCTCAACGACCACCATGTTCTTCTTGAGGGTACCCTTTTGAAGCCTAACATGGTTACACCTGGGTCTGATGCCAAGAAGGTTGCACCCGAAGTAGTGGCAGAGTACACAGTCCGTGCCCTGCAACGAACCATGCCACCAGCTGTCCCAGCTGTTGTGTTCTTGTCAGGTGGTCAGAGTGAGGAGGAGGCTACCGTCAACCTCAATGCCATGAACCAATACAAGGGAAAGAAGCCATGGAGCCTATCTTTCTCGTTTGGACGTGCCCTGCAGCAAAGTACCCTCAAGGCTTGGTCTGGGAAGTTAGAGAATGTGAAGAAAGCTCAGGATGCATTCCTTGCCAGGTGCAAGGCCAACTCTGAGGCTACTCTTGGGACATACCAGGGCAGCGCTGGGTTGAGCGAGGGTGCTTCCGAAAGCCTCCACGTTAAGGACTACAAGTACTGAGGTTTGTCATCCGATTTATTCGGTAATTCTTCTCTGATTTATGTTTGTTTTTCTGACAATTTTGTCTGAAAGAGGTGGCTTTTGTGCCCTTAAAACTTATTTCTAGCTTTGTGTTCTATTTTGAAGTTGTGGTGTAGGGATGGTTATAATAAGCATGAGAAACATCTGCATGTTTGAGGTTTGATTATATTTTGAATGGTTTAAGGCTTTCATGCTTATTTTGTTCATTTTGTTTTGAAGTTTTTTTTTTTTCATAAATGGAACATGTATGTTTTTAAATTGGGAGGGACAAGTTTGAAAAAGAACTTGGTTTTTTATATAAAGCAATCTTTTGGAAGTTTACTAAATAAGCCATTTTTTATATCGTTAAATCACAAGTAAACAATAATACGGTTTACTGAATTAGTTGCATGTCCCATCAAGTTCATTAAGTTGCTAACAAACGGGTCGTAGCTCAATAGGTTGAATTGGTCTTTCTACATTATTTCTTGCTTTATCGCCTGATTGTGTTATTTGTGCCGGAACCCCAAGAAATTGAGGTGATATGTAATTCCCAAAAATCTAGTTGAAGGAAGTATACATTATACTATGAAATTTACTCGAAGATAATATAAATTTGTACCATAGTTTGTAAGCAGAATAACTGGAGTATACACCAAAGATCTCATTTATTTCTATAAATGTGATATAAAATACTTCTCAACGATATGCATTCATTGGCGAATTGGCGGGTTACCAACGGTTACTAGTTATTGAGAGAAGTTATAAAGCAGTTAGGAGCATTTAAGCATTAGTGCAACGACCCTGTTAACGGCTTAACCCCTATTGTATTATCAGTCTATCTTAGCATTATGCATCTTATAATTGGTATTATAGTTTCAAAATTCATTCCATCTCTTACAAATCTTAATTACACCAAATTGAGATCACCAACATATCTCAATAACTTGATTGGCATCATCTAATATGGGCTTGGTGATGTATGTGCTAAGTTAAACTTCCCTACAATATCCACATATATTTTATTTGATGTTTATAACTACTTCCATTTCTGATCTTTAAGAATTGTTTTTATTGTCTTTATGGTTTCCATTTCGTTTCATTTTTCGTCTCTCTGAGACTAATTTTATTAAATTTCAAAGGGTATTTTCGTTTTTATAACTAATTTGTATTAAAAATGTAATAATAATACATTATACCGTTAATGCATATCCTCTTGCCCTAGAAAACCTGTTCTCCTCCTTTCCCTACGGCAACCCTCCCATTCTTCTTCGGCACCGATGAATATGCTATCATCACCATCTCCATCGTTGGGTAATTAATTGTGCTACGATTCACCTTCATTTATGCCTTCATTACATCACCATCTCCAATGGTTGATTTCTTTTAACAAGAATACTTGGAACGCCTTGGTGGTATCTGTCCAAATCTAAACTAGTATACATTTGGAAATGCTAATATGTTTAGTTAGAGTTGCAAAATGCCATTTTTGATAAAAATACCCATCAAATGTCATCTTGGACCAAATGCTCTGGATAGATTCCTGGTCCATCATCACCCCATTTGACAATGGATCTCTTGTTCCCCCAATTCTGGTTATTGGTTTTGTTTATGCTCATGGATTTCTGTCTGTTTCATCAATCTTCATTTCTTCCATCGTAGGCAACTCTTTCTTTTTCCCAAATCAAACCCATTGATGATTTGATGGAGGTAGGCAACCCCCCAAAACCAAAACCAAAACCTTTTGATGGTGCTCCATGGAAGAAAAAGGGTGGAGATCTCCAACAAAACCAGTCGAAGTAGTGGTCCTTGGGGTGTATGTGTTCTCCGTTTGGCACCCATGTGGTCATCGGTGAGAAGAAAGTGAAAAAGGTGGGGGTGGTGGGATTATTCTCACTAGAACCCAACTCGGACCGAAAATCTTATGCGGTAAGATTTATAAGAAGTATTGAGACTAGCCCTCTAAATGAGGGAAATAATCTTACTCCGTGAGGGAAAAGATTTTTACTTTATAAATGCTTATCATGTTTAAGATGTCTTCTAACAATTCATTTTAATGGTCGTGAATATTATATTATAAAGTAAATGGGGACGATGTCTCTTGCTAACAAATGTTTACCAGATAAATGTTTACGATCTTACTTGTTTGTTTGCGACATAATAATTAAACTAGCAGCCAATTAGGCATGATTTGCACAATCCTTTATGTTAGGTGACACAATTGTCTTTAATTAATTTCGAGATAACAGAATTGCATTTAACATGCTTTTCAATATTCAATGATTAAATTTTTTTTATATATCTTTCACGTGTTATCTATGTTATATTGTAAAATATTTGACAAAAATTCTTAAAAATCATTTTATATATATGAAATATTGTTTATTGACGTATATTACTTAAAATTTAAGATTACAAATAAATTGTGCATTAATACAATTTATTAAAACTTCATGTTTGGATTCATGTAACTAACTGCTGATACATATAATTAAATGCAAGATAAATATTTTATTTTAAAAATCTAAAATATAATTAGAATAATCATTGTGTTTTAATAAAATACTTAATTATTATATTTATAAAAGTTTATATTATTAAATCAAATCATTGAATTAAAGAAATTACATAAAAAAACAAAGAACTTTTAAATAATAATTTTAATACTACTATCGATATATTTTTCAATTTTTTTTATGATTTCTTTAAATTTATATTTTATTAAAAAATAAAAACATTATCGTTTTCTCAAAACTACATAAAAACGTATTATAACGTTGACAAAGAAAAAATAATATGAAATATTAAAACCAAGATATATCTCATTATATTACGCGAATACCATTCTAATACTTCCTATAATATTAATAATATTTATTTTGATTTTCCAAATTTTTATATGTTATCTATGTTTTTACACATTTTTAACGAACAATGTATTGAATTGAGTTTTGTATTACTTGATAATTAATGTCTGTAAAAAAAACATTTACAATTCAATTTTATTTTTCATTTTACTCTTTGGATATTATTATATTGTTTTTCAGTTTGACAACAACTGATCAAACCAAATCACAAAAAGACACTTTAAAAGGATATTCATCGGTGAACACTTCAATAAACACCTACATTATTTCATTATATTGTTATGAACACATGTTTTTATGAAATCGCTTAGTTGTAACAGTCAATTAAATATGTTTCAATCAAGACCAAAAAGAAAAATAACTAAAATCATGGAACATGAATCTTTTTGTAACCGTCGATTAAATGTCTTTCAGTCAAGACAAAAAAGAATAATTACTAACATACCCTTAACATTAATCGCATAGAGAGATATGAACATCAAGTATAAAGGCCTTTTGATTGGTCTATAAACACCTATGCACACCATATGGTTATGAATACCTATGAACACCATATGGTTAACAAAAGAGCTTGAACACCTATGAACACCATATGGTTATGAACACATTCTTATGAACACCTATGAATATAATTAAATACCATAAAAGTAACTTACACATAAAAATTTGTAACATATCATTAAATACCATAAAAGTAACTTACACATAAAAATTACTTATTTGCGCTTCATGATTAAATCAAAAATTTAAAGTAACATCTACTAAAAAAATAAATTTTATTGATCCAATAAGTTGGGAAAAGTTCAAAAAAACCCAATGGACTTTACTGTTTGGAACGATTAAGTCCTTGGACAATTTTTTGGAACAAATAAATCAGTGGACATTCTAAAATCTATTAAATAAGTCCTTGGACTTTATAAAACCTATTAAATAAGTCCTCATTCCTTAGAATCGTAACCTGTAACCTAAATAGAAGGTAACTTAAATTAAAAAAAACTTAAAAAATCCTAAAAACTCCTCATCTCCCTCCATCACTCCTCCCTTCCCGTCTCCTTCTCCCTCTCGCACACCGTCATCTCCATCGCTCCCTCCCCTCCCGTCTCCTTCTCCCTCTCGCACACCGTCGTCTCCCTCGCCCCATCGTCGCCGCACCACCTCCACTCATTGCCGCCGCACCACCTCCGCTCGTCACCGCCGTATCAGCTCGTCGCCGCCCCTGTCGCTCGCTAATCAGGTTTGCTCCAGATTTCTTTTTTTTTTCTTCTTTGGTTTCTTCTCCTTCCATGATAAGGTCTGAGAAACTGCTGTTCAATGTTGAATTAGACATTGGGATTATCTTTTTTATCTGAATTAAACACAGCTGAATTAGACATTGCTGAATTAGACACAGCTTCATGTTGCCAAGTGACAGCTGAATTAGACACAACTTTTCCTTGGGATTATCTTTTCTTCCTTGGGACTCTTAACACATACAGTTAAAAAGATATACTTGGGCCCTGTTATCATAATCGGAACCTCTATTACTCCTATATGGACCTAGAGTAATGGTCAATACATGGATATCAAAGAGAGATAAAGAGATTAGTTTAACAAGTTGTTCAGTGCAGATAGTGAGGGGAATTACTTGAGCACATGATGAGTTATTTTTTTATGACATTAACAAGCTCTGAACGAGAATTTAAGTAAAGCACTTGAAATGAAAGATGCTTTAAAGAATCAAGAAGGGTAGGATTAAGTTATTGTGGCCTTATCTTATTACTTTAGTTATGGACAAACTTCAATGGTGTATGTTTTTTTTTTATCAATGATGCAGTGGTAATTGATGAGGCTGTAGTTTGGGTACGGCCGCACGGGGATAGTCGCAAGACGACAAGAGGCAAGACGGGTCTCACGAAGTCACGATTAGATAGCCCTACTACTAGCGCCAAGCAAGCCCGTATACAAAGGCCCAACGTAACATTAACTGCGTTCTTTTACCTAGAAAGATCGTATATATATATATATGCATACATGCATACATGCATACATACATATAGGATGGAATCTAATATGGTCTTCTAGTTCCAAAGAACCTATATCTGAATCTGATTGTATAGACTCTTCTAAACCGCATAGTTCCAGAAAAAATAAAGTATTTTTGTTTTCGGATGGGTTCGGGATGATACCATCATATGTAGGGGTCACTTATAATCCAGTCACGGGAGAAGCAATGATTGGGGTAAGCCATTATTTGTTTTTTTTTTCATATTCAAGTAACATTTTTTATGACTATTGCTTACACTTTATTTTTATCATTAAAGACATCTTCAGGTGTGCCACAACCAGCATGGCCCGAAGGCATCTTACCGTATTCAATTTC